CATCATGAATGTATATCCTCTGCTTAGGTGCCCAAATCTTGGAAAGCATCAATTTAAGATATCACAGATTTGTTGTAATTGATTCTATATCAATATGGCTTGTCCCTGAATCTATCTATTACATAGACAACCTTATTGGCATGCTTATCTTAGTTCATCACCAGTTGCCCTTTTATTCGGTCGGTATATTAGCTGTTCAAATCTAATCCACTTATTGTATTGAAAGCTTTTGAAAATTAAAACATTACTCTAATTTGTTTATGGCATTGAGCACATGGGAATATCAAAATTTTGGACCATTACCTGAGCCTACTCAAAGTAGAACACATAGCTATTGCACCAATAGGCAATCTTATGTTAATGATAGCCTAGAGGATTTCAAGATATCATATAGTTTGGTATGGTTGATTCTTGTGCAATATGATTTCCTAGCATGGCAAAAGAAGTATTAGCATATTGTTTATTGACTATTGTTTTTGTACCATTTATTCTAATGCATTCAGTTCTTGTTTGGTCATATCGATGTCAAAAATTTTAATTGCTTTCGTGATTGCAGGAAAATTTGGGAAGACTATCGCAAAGGAATTATACTAAGATAGTATAAAGGAGGTTGTGCATCCATTTGTTCAGGATGAGCAGCCAGAATCAAGGCGCTAGCTTATGTTCTTCAGCGGATACCCCTACGAAGCGGAAACGTGGGCGTCCACGCAAGGATGAGAGTGTTCAAGGGGACAGCACACCTGTAACACCTGCATCAGCCATTCTAATGAAAAACAAGCAGAGTATGGTAACAAGTAACACAGCCTCTGATGAAATGGTTGGCGAGATGGTTTCTGGTGTCATTGAAGGTTCATTTGATGCTGGATATCTTCTTAATGTTAAGGTAGGTGACACCAACACTCATCTGAGAGGTGTTGTATTTCTACCAGGGCGATTCATTCCAGTTACTGCTGCAAATGATGTGGCTCCTCATGCTAAGATGTACGAAAGAAAAGAGATTTCTATCCCATTTGTAAACCCTCAAAGTCAGCACCGTGCTGTGGGTCCTCCGTTTGGGAAGAGTGAGAAACCTGTTGAGAATAAAAATGATGCACCTAACCTTCCAGACCAAAGTCTACATACTGGGCTTCCGTCTGGTGCCGCAACTGCTAGTGAGAGCAAATCTGCCTCTATTCTGAGTCCTCCAGCTAGTAACTTGCGAATAAATGACACAGGTCTTCCCCTGGGTCAAAAGGTCCTGCAAGAACAAATCTTAGGTTCTCGATTGCAGAATGATAAAGCTGTTGGACAGGATCAATCACTGGAGGGATTTGAGGCCTTCAAACTGATGAAAGGACCAAATATTGATGTGGAGGTACCTAAAGCATCGGACCCAGTGTCAGCAACATTTACCGCTACTTTGCCAGCTACTGATACTGTAAATCTGAAGCCTCAAGTTGAACGTCAGGCCTTGAGTTCTGACCTTAAGCCACAGGAATTGATTCATGATGATGTGAAAAGCCTTGACCTTGGTAACAACCAAACTCCCAATGTTCCTGAACCTGAACCTCAATCCATGGCTTGTGAACCCACTGGAATCAAGATGTTTGAAAAACAGGCTTCATCAAGGCCAGATAAAGATATTTCACAAGATACTCAACTGGAGCATGCTAAGAAGATTATATGTGGAAATGAGAAGTCTCACATGGATGGATTGTCTGCAAGTGATACTGCGACAACTACTGTGACAGTTCCATGCTCTGTATCAACCAGCCTACCTATAATGATATTCGGGGCAGAAACAATTCCATCTGAATCCAGCCCTGCTGCTGAAGAATCTGATGTTCCAAGAAGGGTTGTGTCTGAAGTTAGTAGTTCCTCAATGGCTGCCAACACCAATAGCGTGGAAAGTAAAACCAAAGATGCCATTCCACCAGCACAGTCTTAGTTTTCTCGAGTTGTGAAACTAGAGGCGGGAATAGAATGAGCCTTAGAAGTCAAGGCTTGAAGGATGACTTGTGTAAGTCATGACTGAGGATAGTTGAGAGTTTAAGGAAAATACTTAAATTTAGGTACTCTTTGTCTCTAAGTTGGATTGTTTGTAATGGGAAACGCTTTGCAATTTACCTTTTACCTTTTGACTTCATTTCCATTGCATTTTTCGTGCCTGCAAAGTGTGATGAAGATATATTTGCAGTCTTTAACAGCATTGTGTGCTTGTTTCCAAGATTGACTTCTCTTTTCCATTTTATTGAAATTTATAGGTAAGCATGTGATGTGGCCAAAGTATAGAAAGAAAAAGTTGATGACAGGATGCCATATCAAAAAAGACTAATGTGTTAAAAGGTACCAAGTTTGTCTCCATTGATATTCATATTGATTGAATGATGTTGTAACGATAATTTCATTTCCAAGTTTGTCTCTATTGATATTCATATTTGACTAAATGTCTCAAGGACCATGCTTGTTGGGTTTGGAATTGTTCAGGACTTTTCAATTATCCTAACTTCGCTTGAACCTCATATAGCTCATGGGCCTAGACCAGGAACTAGGTCTAATTCCTGACAGAATGTAGTCCCAAATGACTGCTTTTCAGTTGAATTTTTTCCAATTGCCCAAGTTCATGAAGGTCGAGACCCCATAGGCCTATATGACACGCCCACTCCTGCCTCTGAGGCTACCTGCTTACATTTATTTCCCGTTTAAGCTCACGCTTTTGTCTTTGGGTCTTCAAAAGTGTGCAGTTACGAAGCACCAAGACCAAGTACTTTGAAGTAACAGCTGCCAAAGTTTTGCAGAAATTTTTTTATTGGCTTTTCTGTGTTCAATCTGTCTAATAAACTGTGGGTTCTCTTTTGTTTGGGAAGATGGATTTAATTTCCCAATTACAAGAACAAGTAAATGCAATAGTTGCCCTAGCCTTCAACACTTCTGGGTTGCTGCAGAGAGATGCTCACTCATCAGGCTTTCCCCTAATTACCCAGAACCCCTTGCTAATCCCACTGGGGACTCGGCGAATTTTGCCGACCAACCTTGGCTTATGAATGCTGCTCTTGTTAAGGCTGCTATACAGGTGAGGAAGGGTGATTGATTTTATCAGAATTATGTTTTCTTCTTTTTTTTTTTGTTAGTACCACAATCTTAGGAATCGATTAGTAGTATAATCTGATGATTGGATCAAATCAGTTCCTTGTCTCATGGCCTTATGTCAGATGTTACTGATTGTTACCGCTACTTTCAAGAGTTTGATGCATTGGTTGCAGTACTTCCATCTTCCAAGGGGGGTGAAGAAGCTCAACTTAGAAGGATTGCTGAACTCCACGTAGATAGAGTCTCGACTGTGTTTTACATGTCTTAATTGTCTTTTTCTTGTTCTTTGTTTATCGTTGTGCCTATTGTCCAGGCTGAAAATGATGCTGTCGGCCAAGAACTTCAGAAGCAACTGGAGAGTGGAGGCTGCCGGTACATTTTCCAATCCTTCTGGTTGTTTGCTAGATTTGTTGCCTTCAATGTTCTTAAGAATGAATTTTGTTTCCAGTTCGATTTCCCTTTAATGAATAAAGAACAAGGGAAATAAGTACCAAATTAGGTGTGGGATTGCTAAGCCCCAGGCTGCTTAATCTCAAAAGGAAATTTTTTGTGCCAGAAACATGGAGTAGTTGCCAATAATGCAGGGACTCTGGCCTTCAGTGTGGTATTAGACAAATCAAATAGGATGTTTGCTCCATTGCTGTCATTCTACATACACATTTTCTTCTGATTTTCTAACTCATTGTCAACTAATGGTGCATGTGTAGCTTGTGAAGGAGGTTAGTTTCTGATCATTATTTTCCTTAACACTTTGTGAACAATCTGAATAGTAGGTGAATTATGTACTGGCACAATAAGCAACTTAAAATTAAATTTGATAAAAACAAGTAAATGGCTAAGATGCATAATACTAAAAGATAGTTTTGAATAAAAGTAAAATCATGTATTTTTGTATATCCATGAAAGTTCAATTTTTCAAAATATTGTTTGCTTAGTAATAGAAGCAAAACCAACTAAAAGCCGAAGGAAGAGGATATACTCTACATAGGTTGCAGACAGTAATCATGATTTGGAACACCTAATTGAATTCATATGCCTTGACTTCAAGGAGCCTGCTGTATGCAAATATTGTGGACTGCGCTATGTTGAGGAGCATTATCACTAGAAGTATGATGATGTTTTTATGAAGCTCTTGGGGTAATTGTTGTTATGCAGTACTCCATTAATTTATAATTTTGGTTTACCCTGTCTGGTTATTCCAAGCTGATCTTATTTATGTACATATATAGAATTCTTTTAACCAGTTTGATTGTATCACCACATAGTTTTCCTTACAAGTAGAGTAGAACTTTTATTGTAACCTGTAATTCCTCTCAGTTCTCACATTGCTCCATTCAAATTGGAGCTTTGATTCTTTGACTGAGTAAATTGCTGAAGATGTTATCCAAATGTTGCAGATTTTAATTTCATAACACTGATAACGAAAGCTAACAAACTCAAAGTAGATATCAAATCTGAAAAAAAAAAAAAAGAAAGTGGAAGATTCTACGAAGGAAGTAGTACAATTCTCTTAAGTGATGGAAAAAGACAGAAATTCTCATAAAAGACTAGAACAAATTGCAATGGGACATTCTGAGAACTTGAGTAGTTTGTTTCTCCATCCATGAGATTTCTTCTTTGATCCTTATTCTTCTCTTCTTTGGAGGAGTTGAATTAGATAAATGAGTCCTGGAGAAAAGAAGTGATAAGAAGGCATTACCCAGAGATTAAGAAGCATTTACATATGAAGGGTAGAGGTGAGAGGCAATATAGGAAAGACCCTGACAATAATATTTCTGCAGGAATCTGTAAACATCATGAAAGGTGGCAGTGGCAGCTCCTACAAGCCTCCAGGTGGCAAATTCTTACAACTCTTTATTAGTTTTTTTTCCTCTACAGGCAGATTTGACATCATAAATTCTGAACATATTTATTTTATAACTAATTAAAATATCTCAATACCTTTTCCCTGAAGAGAAAGTTATCTTTCTAGTTTTTAGATCTAATGTAACTCGTGGGGCTTCTACAAATATAACCAACATTCCCTTGAGGCTTTTGAAATGTAACTGATAACCAGCCTTAGATAGTTGAGGCATTTACAAGCTAGCCACTTAGAAAGAAATTTTGATAACTGAATAGTGAGCTCTTATGCTTTTTTCCAAATGTTGTCAGGTAGCTCAATTACTTTTTCTTTTGAACCATTTGAAGTTTGCTGTTACTTGGTTCTCTAAACCTTTAAGGATAAGGCTGTCCACCCTGCATTTTCACTTTTGCGTAGCAATATCATCTACCTCACATACGGCCATAATGGTAAACCAAGAATCTTTTGAAGGACTGTCTTACCCTTGAATCAACTCTGAAACATATCAGAACCCTTGTAAAGTCAACCTTTTGGCTTAGAAGAGAACCAAGGTTAATGATACTTTCGTAATTAGCATTTAAGTTTATTTAATGTAAGCTTTTCAAAAAAAAAAAAAGTTTATTTAATGTAATCCATACATACCAAGTTGTGGTCAGATCTCTTCTCTTTCCCCATATCATGCATCTTATTTTTTCTGAAATCGAAGTAACATCTGATTCACAATCTAGAATAGAATCTAATAATGTTATACCAACTTCAATTATTAATTAATTACATTATCAGAAACAACCAGTATGAAAGTAAATTGTAGAGTAGCTAATAAGAATAGCTTATAGTAAAGCTGTTGTTTTTGGCTTTTGTTTATCTGAATTCTCAAACACTAAACTCTCCTAAAAGGCTTTAGCCAAAGCACTATCAGAGTTGGAAACACTGCAGAAACAGCGTGAGGAGAAAACATTAAAGATCCAAGAGCTTAAGAGACATTGTCACTGTGAAGCTTTGCCTGGAGAAGAAGAAGAAGGATATCCCAGATGCGAGAAGGGAAGCTTTCAATAACCTGAGCGATAAATATAGCAGCCTGAGAGGGGAATACAATGCATTGCTGCTTGAATGGTCAAGGGAGTAGAATTAAGCAAATGACTTCAGCTTGATCCTGTAAGTTTGGATTATGCTACAGTACCTAGAAACTGTTAATATGCTTTCTCGTACGTAAACATTTAAGATTTTGTTTAGTCTGTTGTTCTGTTTAATTACTTTGCTCTATAAGATATCTAAATCAATAATATTTCAGTCATCTTTAATTATCAAAATCAAGTACATGATCACAACTTTTAAATCAGTAAATTTAATTATATGTCCAATACAAGATTAAAAGAATAGATATATAAAATTTAGATTACATGCACTGAATCAACAAGGATTATTGAACTTTATTAATTAGGTATTTCCTAAGCATGTTAGAAAATAAAGTTGCTTCATGATCCCAAAAGCAAGAGTCACAACAAGGGAGGTTATCATGTAGATTATTGCTTGCTTCCCACTGGTTTGGTCTTGGCGTAATAATGTCATCACATTTGCAGTTGAGTTTTGCATTGTTTGCAGATTCTTTTGGCCTATCTAAAGACACATAGACCCACATGCTGCTCAACATATTTTCTGTTTTCGAGCGGCAACTAGCAATCTTGAATCTTGTGTTGGAGCTCGTGCGATCGAGAGAAGACACAATTTGAAGTCCTTGGCGTTTAAGCTCACCTCCCAAACAAATTAAGATAATGCCATACGTATATTTGGCTTCGAAATGACCTTTCTCAGCTGCTTTCTTCAGGTAACACAATCCTGACTCTAGTTTCCTTCTATTAAAACAATTGATCATCCCTTTCCTATATAATGCTTCTGAATTCTTGGCATCTTTGCATTTTTTCAAAAAGATTTTCTCGCATTTATACCAAGGGACAAAGTTGATATTCGCCATCGAAACGTTCTCAAGGATTTGATAATCGTTTGATGCTCCAAGAAAAGCCTTGCAACTTATTTGAGCATTGACGAAATCAGTAATTGAATTGGAAGCCGCATGCTTTAGAATTTCTGCCAACATCTCTCTTGGAAGAGACTTGATATTGCTAGATTTTCTCAGCTTCATAATTCTCAAAGGAGCAGTGCGTTAACGTGGAAACAAAGTATAGAAGAAAGCTAGCTATATATAAGAAGGGAACTTGGACTCCGTAATTGTTAAGGAGTAGGAAAAAGGAAATCCTACCTTAAAATCCTACTTGGTAGAACAAGGAAATCCTACCATACCAAGGATTAATGCAATAATTTCTTTATTGCTAAGTTTTCCTGTTTATTATTGACAGCTGATTCTATTGGTCTTTTTTTTTTAATTTATTTACTTAATATGTCCAATTATTTTAATATCAATACAAGTTCGCAGGATTTATGATTCAATAATTTCTTATTTAATTTTAAAAGATTTTTCTGTATCTGGTTAAAAAATGTCCAATAATTAATATTTTTTCTTCCTTTTGCCCTGTAATTCTCCAAACACAATTTTACTATGAACATTATTCCATAAGATTTTCTATTAGGAATTCGAAATACATGTATATATAATACTTTCTCAAAGTTCAGCAGGCCTCTTGACCTTACTAAAACGTATGAAGCTTCACTGTTTGACAGATTTATTTGTAAAATTTTAAAGCTATAATAGTGAAACACAATACCTTCATTACTTATTAAATTCTATAATGAAAATGGTAAATCCAGGCTCATGTATTGTCTAATACTTGAACAACATCAGAACGCAAAAGAGAGAAAAGGGTGGAGGCGAAGCTGAGTGAAATGAGTTGAAACAAAACCAGGAGCCATCCAGTGAGTACCGACCAAGCAATCAATCGATCAATCATGACAAAGACTATATAAAAATTGAATCATGACTAGCAGATATGGGAAACTTAGCATCCAAGCCATTGTAGGCCGATGGCCGCTTTTCCAGGCTTTCCAAGCAGTTTTTAACTTAAGAATAACCATGGGATTTGTTGAAACAAATTGAACAAAAACACCTTATAAATAACACTCGTATCATTATGATGCACCCATGACCCGACTGAACTTTCCTCAATCCCAAAGGCCACAATTTCACCATTACGTGCATATAACACAAAAGCAACAGTATCTGATAACGGCTAAAGCTAAACACCCAAGAATAGTGCAAAATTTTGTGATAAAGGAGAGTTATACAGTGCATATGCTATTAGCAGAGAGAATAACACAGCCTGAATTTATTCCCCCAAGTGAGAAACAAGGAGAGATCAAGTAACGTAAGTTCACCATACTAGTAAACATAAAACAGCCATAAATAACAAAGTAGCACTTTTAACTATATCCGACTTGTTGTTGCTGCTGCTGAGGTTGTTGATAATTTCCATACCCAGGGTATCCTCCATAGTACATGTTGGGGTCTTGGGGAGCAGCAGCATAGCCATAATCGTATCCTTGAGCATACCCATAATATCCCCCATTCCACGGGTTTGGATCTGCTTGGGGCTGCAATACAAGACATGTCAAAGGCATGGATCAAACTCAAGGATATACAGAATTACCAAGAAAAAAGCAATAGGCCATCAAAATCATCTAACTCACCTGTTTGTTTGATGTGCTACGGCCCCATGAAAGCCTAATACTTTGTCCTCCCAACTGAGTCCCATTTAGCATTCGCAGTGCTTCTTCTGCACAGCTCCTGATGCATAGCACAAGCACAGAACAAACCAATTACATGAGCATTATATCTCCCCTTAATAGATTTCTTAAGAAATGTTGAGCAGCATTTCCTTACCTATCAGCAAATTGAACAAATCCACATCGTTTGTTTTGTGGTATCTTCACATGCACCAACTGACCATATGGGCTGAAAACCTCTCTCAAATGGTCATCCGTCACATTAGAATCCAAATTACCGACAAATATCTACACAGAAATATGTAAAATCAAAAACATGTTACATAAAAGTATGTTCCTCAAGGAAAGTGAACAAAGTACCCACAGTTGTGTTATTCGGATCATTCTCGTTCTGAGCCCCTTGAGATGAAGCTGCATATGAAAAATAAAGGCATAACAAAAGGACGACAAAAAGGGAATAGCATTTACACGAGAAATGAGAAAACACAACACTATGCATAGACAGGATTCCTTTGATGAATCTTGTACTTACACTTCCAGGGGTTGTCACTTAAAAGTTGAGAAAATACATATAACCTAAAAACTGTGTCACCTATTTGAATAATAGGTACAAGACCAATGTCCCTTGATTCATAGAAACATGATCAAAGAAGCACATAAAAGAGTATGTACTGAATATACAATACTAAACACCAAACATACAGCATGATCCCAATGTATGACCAATAGGGTGGGCCTTCCTGCATATCCCAATAAAGTAACAATATACACATGAATTGGTAAGCAGCAAAGGGTTTGGAAAGGAGCCACGAAGAGGAGATAAAATAATCATTTCCCAGAATGCAGTTCCTACAATGAATTATGCTGATGAAAACTTCATATACATGTCAAGACATAACATGTTAAAACCTGCAAAAACCAACTCCCACTTGACGAGACCCCATGGATAAAAAGAAGAATGAAGAAAAATGCTAAGAGGACAACTACATAAGTGCCTGGACAGCACTCATCACAAACGTAAGATAAATACCAACATCCATGCTTTTGACAAGCTACGACCTACAGTATGAGCTCTCACTGACTGAAATCTAAAAATACACATGACCAAAAAACTCTAGTACAGTAACCAGAAATAGACATCGAGAGCAGCAGGACTAAGCAATCAGATCAAGCTAAAATGTAAAGGCACAAGGAAACAGTACATAAGAAATTACAAATCTCATTGTTTTGTAAAACTGAAGGAGAAAAGGCTCTAAAGGTAAACTGAAATGTAACTTGACTGAAATCTCTTACTAACCAGAGAAGCAAAAGTAAGTTGACTGACAGCTCAACCAATAGAACTGAAATGAACTTTGAAAATGTAGCATGAGAGATGCCACAGAAATCTCAAATAAAGGACGAGACATTAACACAAAAACTGACCTAGGTGAGGGCACGGACTAAGGGGGTAACCATTTCAGCTGAAATCAGTTCCAGGCCCCAAGATGATAGAGCCACCTGACGCCCTGCTCTGAGACAACAGGAGTTTATAAGTTTTTGCAAGTTTCAAGATTTGAATAGCATTATGGTGCCCAAATGTTAAAAGGAAAGTGCAGGAAGGAAATGACTTTTGGAAACTGCTGCTCATCGACCAGAGAATAACTGAAAGAGAGAAAACTTAAAATAAAATTACATACGCTTCACAACAAATAATAGTTGGAAATTAGCACCACCAACCTTACCCTTTCAAACTGATAATTCATAAATATGAATATCAATGATATTTAAAGGACATAAAATCCACATTACATACCACATAAAAGAGCACCAGAAGATTCAAAAAAATGTATTCAATCTCAAACATCTTATGCCATTCTTTTAACGCAGATAATGGATCAAAATATCCCAAAAGGCTTGGGCAAATCTGAAAACATACCTTTTGGATATTGTTGTGCAGTAATAGTCTTCTTGTTAGTAGCTGGTCCTGTACGCATAGGCCTAGTTGAACAAAATACGCCATTCATCTCCGTCATAGCACGATTGTGTTCAGCTTCATCTCCAAACCTAACAAACCCATAACCTTTTGTACGTCCAGTGAGCCTATCAATTACAACCTTTGCACCCTTCACAGAGGGGAAGCGCGCCCTGAAAGTCTCTTGAAGCATGTAATCTGTAACATCAGCCGCCAAGTCTCCAACAAAAATTGTAAAGTCAGGGGTTTCATCTCGCCTCTCGCCTGAACTAAATGATGCCCAGTTCAACCTGTAGTTATTCTCACCATTCGGCATTGGTGTACCATTGTATGTTTGCAAAACTCTCTCAGCAGCAGCACGTGAAACAAACTCAATGAACCCATAACCCTCCACTTGGCCTGTTTGCTTGTTACGGATAACTTTCACTGAAACAACCTGCAACAGAATCAAGACGGTAAAAACTCTGTCATCATAAAAGGAGAATATTTACTTATCTGTTTAACAAACAATTTTAGTAACAATGACACCTAAAACCAACATAAATACCCACGTTTCAAATCTACATCCTTGCTAGTCTAAGCAGCATCCTAGTTAAAGCCCTCAATGCAAGTCAAAAACAGAACATGACTTCGAAAATCCAAAACATATCAAATCTACATCAAGTCTCCTAACCATTATGTATAGAACATATAAAACCTTGATAAACAAACAAATCCACTACCAAAATCTTTTCTTGATGCATTTGACCAGAGAAAGTAAACAACACAAAAACTTAAACACCCATCTGAGAAATCAAAATAACAGAAACCACGGATTGACACATTACATCAAAACAAAACCCCTCAAGAATAAAACGACCCAGAAGACAAAATCTCAAGATGATAAAAAGTAAAAGCCATTAAATACCTCTCCCGTTTGGGCAAAACAGCTCAAGAGATAATTCTCATCCATATAATACTGCAAATCTCCGATCCACAAAGTCCGAACCTCATCGGCGCTGGCGGGTTGACCCGCTTGACCCGCCTGCTGTTGCTGACCTGGCACCGGAGCCGAACCTTGTTGCTGGGGCCACATGGGTGTAGGCTGGCTCTGAGGTGGCATCATGTTCATCATCATGTAAGGTTGTTGCGGCTGAGGAGGCGGTGGCGGTTGCTGGTATTGGTACTGTTGCTGGGTCTGTGGAGCTGCCGCCATGGACGGTGGTGGAGCCATTGGTGGTGGAACCACTCCGGGTGCTGGTTGCTGCATCATCTTAAAATCAGGGGTTTTGGTTTTCTGGGGCTGGAGACACTGATAGAGAGCGAAACCCTAACCCTAGATCATGTAAGGTTTGGGAGATGTGAAAGAGAGAGAGTAATCGTTGGTAAAGGAAGAGCTTTTAAATAATGGGCACGTAAGCTGATATTCCTGTGAAAAGACTGAAATGGGTTTGGCTTTTCTCTGTTTATCATTGATAGGTAGGGCGTTAGGTATATTTTGATAATTTTTTATTTTGTGGACCTGAATCATGCTTTAATCGTTGATTTAGGCTCTAATAATTAGATATAATAATTTTAGATACAACATATTAATATGATACAAAAAATACAAGATTAAATAATTTTAATTTTAATTTTAACGTATTTTATATCTAATTATGTTTGATACATTTTTCATATCTTAATGTGTTAGAGTAACACGTTTAAAATATATTTAATTAATTATATTAATTATATTTAAATATATAAATATATTTAATCATATTATTATGTTTAAATATATATATATATATAATTTATTAATTATTAAAAATTAATAATTAAATACTTTTTATTTTATTTAAATAATTTTAAATAATTATTTTAATAAAATTTTTAAATTTTATAAAGATAAAATATAATTATATCATACTTAAACTCTAATTTTAAATTTTATTTTACTATTTATTATTATTTTATTTTTATTTTTATTAATTTTAAATTTAAATAATAAAATTATATTTAATTATTAAAAAATTATTTAATTATATTAAATATATTAATTATATTATCAATCGTGTCGAATCATTTATTGACACGTTAACAAATGTATAATTATATCATATCGTATTATATACATATTAAATATATATATTTTAAATTTAAAATATAAATAATATTAATATTATAAACATGTTTAACTTTAATATATTTTGTATCTAATCCTATATGACATGGCACGAAAACACACTAATAATCACCGATTTATTTTACTTATATGTTTTTATTTGAAAAAACAATTTTTTAATTGTGTCATCAGTTTCCCTGGTGGCTGTTTTACTGGGCAGTGGTCAGTGTTCTTACTGTAATTCTTCACTGTCTGAAAGGCAACAGATCTAGGCAGCTCTTTCACTCGTCTGAATCTGAATGTTTTGAGGGAGAATTTGAAGTTCAGCTTAAACATGGTCTGAAGTTTTAACCTTTTATCTTCCATGTGGAGGTAATCAACTGATTTCCATTCTTATTTCCAGTTTTAAGCAGTTTTAGTGTGTACAGAAATTACTAGCTGGAGTAGTTGCTCTTTACTGAAGTTTAAAGCTTTTGTCTTGGAGAAAATTCTGAGCTAAAGTGATAATCTTGTGAGATCTTTTGACAGATTTTGATTTGTAACTGGAATTGTTGTCTTCTGTCCTGTTATCTCAAAGGAGTCGTCAAGGATTTGACTAGATTTCATACCAGGGGTCTGAATGGATTACCATTTGAAGAACCTGTTCGATAGATTTCAGGAGCAATTTGGTTCTGGTCCTGGCCTCGGTCCTGGATCCGGGACATGTCTTATGAAGGTAGATGGCATTGCTTCTACTTTTATAAAGTCCATCTTTAAGGCTTCTGCGGCGCTATATAGAACTGAACCTTGGAGGAGATTGCGCCCAGGGCATTTCTTTGGTGTCCGAGTTGGGAAAGATTCAGATTGGGCTGGCAAAAAACAGCCTTTTCCATGTGCCCAATTCATTGGAGGAGATGGTGGGGATATTGGGTTTTACATGTTTCGATCTGAAAATGATGCTAAGAAGATGACAGGCTCAAGGGAGACAATTCGAGCTGCAAATGTGGAGCTTTTGAGGGTCACATATGAGCTTGAGACATTAATGTTTCCTTCAAACCGCAAAATGATCAAGTCATTGTCATTGGAAGCATCAGGGAATGATCGGTTTCCTGTTATTGATGTTGCACGCTGCACTTCTTCAGGTGAGCTTCGGTTTAGAAATCCTACCCTGGGAGAGCTAAAGTTCGTTTATGCTTTCATGAGAGCCATTTCCCTGGTACACCCATTGCTTCAGGTGGAAAAGAAGGTGGTCCAAACTGGTCAAGGTTGATATGTTTTGATCCATTTATTGAGACAGTAGACATACAGTGGCCTCCAGAAATGGCTAGAGGTCATGAACTTGTAGCAGTTACAATCTCACATCCGCCTGGTCAGGCATATGACGAAAAAACAAGTTCAACAGCGAGCTCAACACCCACCAAGTATGCAGAGCCACCAAATGAGGATGCCTTCACGGATATAAGGGTAAACTCAAATTCCAGCTCAAGGCAGTGTGCAATGTGTGAGAAAGAAGTTAATGGAGATCAGTCTCTCTGCTGCGGACGATGTCGAGCAGTGGTCTACTGTGGTTCTCTCTGCCAAAAGCAGCACTGGAAGGAATCACATAAAAGCATGTGTGGTCTGTACAAAGCTATGATGGAAAGGGAAGAAGAACTTGTAATGAAAATATTCATGTTCCCTTGCTCTGCTGACCAACCTTGTAAATGGCTTGAATCATTGGGTATCCATCAGAAAGGGATGTGGAGAAGGAAGTGCAGTTGCTATTCTCACTGCCCTTTTGGTCTCCTTCCAGCTAAAGGTGGGCTCTGGGACTCATGGGGTGGGCTAGATGATGAAGAGTACCCTCGCGATTTACCTTTTCACAGTCATCTAAGAGACGGGATCTCGAGCCCTATCCTTCTTTCTGGTTGGTCCGAGTACTACAACCTTCGATCGCTGCCATTGTCAAGCCCTGTTACTGATATTCTTTCCCACCCTTTGACGGTTTATTATATATTGACGGCTCTCAGTATCAGTGCAAAGAATCTTTTACTCAAAGGAAAGGAGGTGATTCTTCTCTACCTGGGGCCTGAAGGGGAGATGGATTGGATGCCAGCATTTGCTGAGATCAGTCACTTATTAAATGGGTTGGGTAATATACAAATAGTTATGGTTGGACCTGAAGTACCAACGACCTTGTCAGGCACAACATCAGGAATAAGTAGCAGAGTGAGGGTGAATCTTGTAAGGGGTGTTTATCAGGAAGAAGCCACTTACCTGCCTTCCCCCCATGTTATAGTTGCACTGAACTGTGTATTGGATAGGTATGCCACTTGGGGTGGTGCTCTTGATTTGATCAAAGCCATGAACATTCCAGCCTTCTTCACTGAGCAGTCAGAAATTTTGTGTGCAAATGCTAAACAGGTTCTACGTGGTGCTGGACTGCACATCACCCACCCTGTGACACCAAATCCCTTCCGTTCCCCAGTGAAGAATCATGATTCCTCCAGCAATCTTCCTTCTTACAGCAATGGATTTGTGCTGGGGGTAAACACATGACTCTAGACTCAGACATTATCAGATGCTGAAACCTCTGTTTTACATGATTTTATATGCACCAGCAGATATTATGCTGGTGCGGGCTTTACCTGCTGATAACAAATTGGCTGAGAGACAATCTAGCTATGAGAATTTCAATGTAACACAACCTGTTTCTGTTATTGAGTTGAATACAGCTAGTTGATGTGAACTTTGTGGTTATTCTGTCATTTCTGAGTGTTGCGTACAAAGGCTTAGAGCAAGTTTTATATTCCTCCTTTGACTGTGAAACTACTACATTTGCCTTCTGTTTAGCTTCCATTTGCATCGACATAAACATTTTGTGTTACATTTTACTGCAATAAAACTTTTTCCAAAGCGTCTGAGCCTTTTAGGGAATTAGCAGTGGCACATATGTTTGCATTTGAAAGCAAACTAAGATCTCTTTTATGCTGAAGCTCTTCCTATGTTTAGCTGTAGTGCAAAACCATCAGAAATGGGAGCCACTCGCATGGTTCTGTGACCTCGTTTGACAACTTTCTATGAACAAATATTGGAATTCACTTCACCCTTTCCAATATTCCAGGAGTTCTGTGTTGTATGGTGAAAACGAACATATCGTTTTCGACAGCCGCATGCTGCAACTTGTAGATTTGCCCAACTCATTTCCAGAAGCCATTCAAGGTCAAATCTGTCATTTCAAGAACAACCCTTTTCCATGAATGAGCCATGATTCAATTAATCAATTCCCTCAAGATTGAAACGTACCATAAAGTTTGAAACTTTGCATGCCCAATGACGTCCCAATTAAAGCCCCCATAACCCCAACTTGCCCAATTGGCCTATAAAAAGTGCAAGCTACTCTCTCTCTATCCACTTGTCAAGCCAACCCAAATCCTCATTTATCCCCAGACTGCAGCCACGAAGATTTCCTCTCATCGGCAATGGAGCTCCCCTTCCCATCATACCAACTTTCTCCCTGGCATTACCTCCTCTCATCTCCTGCCCTTTTCTCCAACCAGCTTCTTCCCGAAAACTACGTTCGTTGGACAGAGACCCCAGAGTCTCACATTTACTCTGCTGATCTTCCTGGTAAGTCACTAGGGAAAAACATCTCTTTTTACTTTGTTATGTATTGTACTAGAATTTAGTTTCATGTCATGTTTGTCATATCAGGTGCGAGGAAGGAGGAGATAAAAGTCGAACTTGAGGACTCAAGATATCTTATAATCAGGACCGAGGCCATTCATGAATCAACCAAACCAGTCAGGAACTTCATGAGGAAATTCCGGCTCCCTGGAATGATAGATATTGAAGCAATATCAGCCGGATATGAAGATGGGGTCTTGACAGTTACAGTGCCAAGGTCCTTTAGGAGGAGTGGTTTCTATATCGACCCTGCAGATGTTCCCGAGAGGCTTGAAGTTCTTGCAAGGGCTGCCTGAAATTGGAAAGTTAGACATAAATGGCTACTTGGTTAGTTAGGCTACTAAGAATAGGTTCTAATCAATGATTCAATTCCATTAAATTGTTAGCCTGTTTGTGGGTGTGATTGGTTTGGGAATTTGTTGTACGAAAGATTTGATTTGGTATGGAACTATGGCTGCTGCTGTAATCTGTCCATGGATATTGGCATCAACTTTATATTTCACTCTAATTGGTTGAACATAACCTGAAATTTCCTTCCACCTACCCGACAGAGAGAAGGCAACTCGTGTCTCCAATTTGAGACCTGAGAGAAATAGTTGAAGCCAAGGCGGCAGAGAACTGACAACCAAACAAAGCTTTAACTTCCACCATGTTGGGTCGACCAAAGCCTCTAGGCCTTGTTTGCTGTACAAATTTCTGTAAGAAGGCTTCCCTGTTGGGTACAAGTTTAGTTACACAAACGGTCCCTTGAAGTGGCTGGATAGATATCTCTGGCCAAAAGATGAGAATGTGCGGAGCAGCAGCCATGGACCACGGATCACCACAAGATCTTTTCCAACACTAAATAAAATAAAGGAATAATAAGAATTAAGTAATTGCAACTTGCTTTGAATACACTAAAACTATGTTGTTCACCATGTTGCAACTTGCAACCTGTTTTATCCTTTTCCTGGCCAAAGATATCTTCTGCAGCCTAGATTTGCGCAAAGCTTGAACTCCCCGAAGCAATCGAATTCGATTGGACAGGTTCCAACCAGGGAACCTTATCAGATGGGCGGTGCTGCAGCAGGTCACAGCTTTAGCTTCAACTAGTTTAATGTTATTAGTTGGAAACTGCTTTAACTAAGAACAAAAATGCAATGATAGACTCAGGAAGTCTCTGGCCACCACGTCTAGCACTTCAAAAGAAGAAAATAGATTAATTCAATCTTACATCAAGCACATACAGAATTCTGGAAAGTTTATAAGTATAAATACAGTATATCTTAACTTTAAAAAAATAATAATAATAACTCGTAATAAAATTATATTTTAGATCCAACTCATTTCAAGGATATCTACAGGAGAGATAGGGTAATTGTCGAAAATAAAGACATCCCCAGATTGAATAGAGAAAAATGTTACATCAAATATTACAAAAGAAGTTAAAACATGAAAACTGAATGCCTTATTAACTTTTTAAAGATATGTAATGACTCAATTCTGACGAATTCATTTTCACAAGAATTACATCAGTATCAGTTTCGCAACACATCCGGGCACAGGTCATGCACTATTAGATTTTACAAAACTGTACCAAGAGTTAAAAGAACTCACTCATCAAACACATATCAGTGACACTATATGGAAATGTACAGAACTAACACTAGCCAGGTGAAAGACTTCTTCACATTGCAAAACCGATTGGCAGTTGCTGGATTTAACCATTTGTTGTTAGTTTAAGAAGCTCAACAGCCTCTCTCAATCTTCTTTCTATGTTCTCTCTTAGAGCAACAGTGCCACGGGGATTCCTGCAAGAAAATAGGATGAGGGAACATCATTTGTGGGGGATCATAAATCACTCTACATTGCACTTTCTTTCAACAAAAAGTACCAATTTCTAAAGGAAACGAGCTTCCTTTAGCCAAAAGCTAACCTTTTTTCCATGTTTGCTTTCCTTGTCAGTTCTTCAACAAGATTGTGTAGTCTCTTCAAAAGAGCAGGAAACTTGTGTACAGCTTTCACACCTTTCTGATTTGAACATATTTTCTTCAAGATCTCGGAAGCAATAAAATATCCTTCGTCCTTGTTCCTGGAATAAGTTGATAAGAAAATATAACCAGGTCGGAAACAACATAAGAGGTACCATTATCTTGACTTGTAATAGAGTAGAAAATAGAAAACCTGTGCAACTCCCATAAGATAATCTCTATAGATCCAGGAGTGTCGATCAGCACTTCTGTCAAATGTGGATAGCGGGTAAGGTTTCGGAGTGTTGAGAGCGCATGCTTTAGAACCTCCTGATCAGGTATGCTTCGACTGACTGAGCCAATCTGCTTCAGTAGAATGCCAATTGCACCCGCAGCAACAAGTTCTTCACAGCATTTGAGAGAATGTGCTGTAGCCATATCTGCATTGAAGCTTCGTCGTCAGGAAGCAGATTCAATGGTTTATCTATTAAGGGAAACAATGTCATGTTTGCTCATCAAACTAGCCTTTTCTCAGTACTTGGGGTCCTTTACACAGATCATATTATGCTACCGTGCTCTATTCCATAGTACAATTAAGTTTATCCCAAAATAATTCAAGCTAAATTTTATTTGAATTCTCAAAACATGTTAGTTTGTTAAACTGCATAGCATGATAAACCATGAACTTAACATTTCCATCTGCCAGAACTTACATACGACACTTGACCATGATGTGGCAGAACACTGCATCGTTTAAGAAATTATGCATATAGGCTTAAGAGTCAGATAATTTAAGAACTTATCTTAAAATAAAGCAATCTGCCACTATTTCCAAGGAGTGAGAACAACAAGAAGTATGAGTTTTGTAGAATAAAGCGTAACTCACCCAAAGTCTCACAGATGTGAAGAATGCCGCTGATGCTTTTCATGCTCAGTAGTTCTGAAAGTGCTGACAAAAGCCTGTTAATAATACGTCTGCTATCATCCACATTCATAGCAGACTTTAGCATTCTCAAGCGCAAATCCATTAGCTGCCCTATTGATTCTTTCCGAGCGAGATAACCTTTCCAATATGACTGCCAAATTTATAAGGAAAAAGAAATTAGGATTGAGCAAGATATGCAAGTTGAATATTGAAAACATATATTAAGAACAAAAACTAGTAGAAGGATAAAGATTGGATCGGCAAGCAAATTTAACCAAATGTGGCATAGTTCCAATACTAAATCAAGTTAATATTAAGTGCAAGTGGATTTTAACCAGCAGAAAAATTGGAACCGTAGACATTTGCAAAAAGCATCATTAAAAGCAATTATATAAAGCATAGCTCAATATGGAGATATCTTACTTGTATTACAACAATATGTTTCCTCTCTCTATAAGCCTTTTGCCTAGCAATCCACCCCCGTACATGACTCTGAATAATGATTGCTGATTTTGTTCTTAATTTAAATAACAGAACACCTCTCCACCACCTTTGCAGTTTCAGAATTGAAGTAATCACTAATGTCAATTCGAAACTCTGGAAGAAGCCTTCTAACATCTTAATATTGCAACAGCCAGTAGTAGCTGCATGTAAGGAAGATGCTCCTGCAATTGCTCAAAACCATATAATTTTGTAAATTCTCGGATGGAACCACAAATGAAATATGCAAACAAGAACTTCAAAATTCAATAAGTGGAAGTTCAGGTGAAAACTAAGAAAGTACCTAAAAGCCTATTTCGAGTAATTTGCCCCCTGATAAACTGTTGGATCTTGATAGCAGCCTGTTTCTGAAAATGAAATGCCTTCTGACATTTTAGGCACCGTATTGCTCTTTGGATCTTTATTACAGCTGCCATTTGCAACACAAGCTCCTTCCTTACTAGCCAACCATGGAAATGCCTCTGGTTTATAAGAAGAACGATCAGTGATTTATGTATTGTTACAAGTAAACATCTTATAGAAAACAATGCTAAGGAATGCACTGGATATAAAGTTGAGGTGATTATTGATCTGGAATTTCTAATATCATATTAATTTGACCATCAGATCAAGGCAGCCAAGAAAATATAATGAATCATTACAGAAATAATCAGTAAAGAAAGAAACAACTTACTTGGATCACAACAATAAGATACCTATATCTCTGAACTTTTCTCTGAGCCATCCATCCCCGCACATGAGACTGAATGATGATTGCTGATCTGGCTGCAGTTTTATATTGGTGAAAAGAGCTCAAACATATTAGCCGTCGAATATTACTTTGAATTTTTATTGTTGTTTGCTTTTGCTTCAAAAAACTCCTTCTTAACTGCCAACCACGGAAATGACTCTGAATTTTGGTTGCAGCAAATGTCTGATTTTGAAGAGATCTATAGACAAAATCCTCCCAAGCAATCTGAAAGGCCCTCCAGCATTTCAGCCGTCGAAAATTACTTTGAATTTTTGTTATTGCTTGCTTCTGCTTCATAAAACTCCTTCTTAACCGCCAACCCCGGTAATTGCTCTGAATTTTAATTGCAGCACTATTTTTATTGTGTAGAGATCTGCAGACAAACTTCTTCCATGCAATCTGAATCCTGGTTGCTGCTTCTATTTCACTATTGCTTAGACCAATCTCTCGGCACATAAGAGAAGCATTCTCAATATGAGCAGGTCCAAGGATGTGTTGTGACCTTACCATCCAACCACGAACACATTTCTGAATGACAATGGCAGCCTTGACTAGGTCAGGAACAGACGCATCATGTCTTTGAGCTATCCAAATCCTTGCAGCTTGCTGTATGAGCAACACCGATCGTCTTAAATTGACAAAACTGTGTCTCTCAACAATAAACTCGACAAGTCTCTTGAGTTCTTCTGGCAAAGCAAAGATCAAACAATTAAAGTGAGGAACCAGTAATAGGGAAAAATGCATATAACCAAAATATGCAGTCAGAGCAAACACCAGATGGGACTTCCTGAACTCTGGAAAAACTGAATTTGTTGAGCTCTGAATATTTCTTCACTGTCAACCATGCACGTATAACAGTTTGCATTAAACAGATTGCTTTCATCATCTTCAGAAATTTGCGACGCTCTATCAATCGCCTGAAATGAGACTGTATGACAATTGCAGCATTTTCTGAACCATTATTCCAGAATTGCAAAGTTAGAAGAAGAATATTACTTTCCACAGAGATGCTATTCTTGGCGAATGCAATGAAAGACCATAGAGGTCAAAGATGCCATGTTAAGTTAAATTTGACCAAGCCATAAAATTAAGATAATCTTAGAAAAAATATGTAAATTGTCAACTAAAAAGTTTCCAAATCCAATGTGATCTAACCATGATGAGAGAATAATTTGAACTCGCAGAGCAGATTTCCCATGAAAACTTGCAATAAAACATGAATGTGGCAACAACCAATGAATATCAAAGTTAAAATTACTTAGGAAGAAACATCAACTGATTAATAGTGAGAAAATTTTAGATGAAAAGGTATCAGACTCCTAGTCAGTGTAAAAATTACATCAACCCATAGCAGAACAGGCAAAGGAAAAAAAAAACTATTAGCAAAAAAAACTAGAGAAGGAGCACAGAATAACCTCTTTGAATGTCAATGCTTGTCTTCCGAGCTGTGAAACAATATGAAGTAGAAGCAGCAGGTCTTTCAACACTTTTGTAGTTTCGTTCACTCATATCTCGCCACCAAGCCTGAATGGCCTTAAACTTTTTAGCAGCATCTGTATAAATATGTAAGAGAGAGTGAATAAAGCTTAGATTTTAGTGCTGAATTCTGAGGGCTTGAACATATAGTTAACTAGCAAATGCAACAACTTCACATGATAATTTCCTCAAACCAAAAGTAAATAAGCATACAAATATAACACACACTTGTAAACGCATGCAACACACACATGAGAAATTGAAAATGCTGAGTACATCACTAGCATTATGAGCCACGTTTTAGACAAAGAAAATTAAAGGATCAAACAAAACAATATTCTCGATTGATTAAAAAAAGCATGAAATACAAAAGGTAAATGGACCATTCAGCAATAAAATGGGCTTCATGATTAGCAAAAAGAAATCATAGAGAAAGTTTGGTGGAGTATTTTATCCTCTAAAGGGCTATAACACCAGCTGTTCTCACATCTTTTGAATTAGTTAGCATGTATTCCTTGCAGAAACCAATACTACAATGAAAGCAGTGGACCAGATGGGGTATACCAAGTATAATAAATTTATAGCTAAAATACACCCCTTTTGTCTGAACTACAGCCAATACCAGCTCATCTTCCAGTTTTTTGTCCTCGGAAGCTAGGCCTGATGAGAGTGATCCACTTACAGCCCAAGTTTCATGCATTTTTTCATGATGTGATTGTTTTCACTATTTCATGGGCAGTATTCAACCACATTTAGCTGCATAAGATAAAACACATCCATCTAACATATATAAATTTCTAAAAAGAGAAGTATTACTAAATAAAGAACCTTCAGTGGTATCTCTGTCTATTTCCTTCTTGTGCACAACAGCTTCAGAACTTGCCGACTGCCGTCGAGTTAATGAATGCCTCCTCTCCAAGTTTTGGCAATTGCAACCCAATAGTTTATGGAAATTCAACTGATCCTGGAAAAAATAGAAGAGTTCTTGAAGTGATTGCTTAACTATGGCACAATCAAATGTCCCCAAAGAGACTTCTGGGCTCAGGCATTACCACATTTTTCTTGACAATCAGCTGGGACAACAGGAAAACCAGCAAAACTACCACACTTTGATCACTGACTGCTCCGTTATGCTCAAGTAAGTCACTTATTTGCAGAACCTGTACAGCAACATAGGCAAATAGTAAGACATATAATCATATTGTAACTAATCAAATATAAGATATGTTAAAAGAGCAAACTTCATTGTCTAATTAATAGCATGCACAATCACCATCTAAATTACAAGTTATCTTTTAACACTCTTTTGCCTCAAAAAACCCATAAGAATTTAAAATCGTACCGGCATCTCTCAATTCTCACTTCTATAGCAGATATTGAAACATTAAGAAAACATAAATAAGCAATGTAAACGTTAATAGCACATAATCAATTAATAAGAATTAAACTAAGCATTACCTCAGGAAAGTTTCCCAATAATGCTGTCAGTTTCTGTGATAATACAAAATTGTGAACTGCATCTGTGTAATCGGTAGCAGACATTATTGATTCTTCACCTCTTGTTTCATGAGAATCCTGTTAAGACAGGACAATATGAGGTTAATAAGAATTAGAAGGGAAAAGAATGAAAATATTAGGACAGAAAAGAGAGCACACCACCTTGTTAGAACATGAACAAGAGAGTTCTCTGCGGAAATAATAATCAAGCAAGCACCATATGGCTTTTCCATTAACCAGTGAAGAAAAGCTGTCAATCTTAAGATCATACTTCTCACAAATTGCCTACAAACATTCATTTATATTCTTATTAAGGGCAGTGAAAAGCATGAAGATGCAAAATTAAAAGATTAAACATGTATAAAATGAAGAATCCCTAAACACAACTATCGATTAATAATTATATCAGATAAAATCATCTAAAAGGCAGAGAAGAAGAAAAACTGAAGTGGCTATGAAATAACAGACATACCTGGATCCAATTTAAAAGCATTGCCAAAAGAGTAGAATTGACTGCATTCAAGTTCTCCTATAATGAGAAGACAAAATTCAAATTGACTTGTGAACATTAGGAAACCTTAATAAACAACAGAAACAAACATAAGAAAGAGCTTAGCCAAGTTTTTCAAGTATTTAAGCATATAGCTGGTTGCCATAACTTCTTACATGCACTTCTTGATTCTGCTGGAATAGAAAAACTAAACAATTATCCAGACTTTTCTGCTTCCCACCTCGATCTCTCACCAGCCCACTTTTTTCACAAGAACTCAAGTAAAGTCTGAAGCATACCATATTAAAGCCACGTATTTTGGATATTTCATCAGCAATGATTGTTTTATCGATCAGAAGTGGCAGCTGCAAATTCAATGAAAACATAAGTGCACAGCTAAAAGAATTAACACATGCAAAAACTCTGTAAAACCAACTAGCATCTGAAAATTTTAGACAAAGAGGAGATTTGCACACCTGTAAATGAACAAACATATTCCAGAGCAAGGATAGAGTGAGTTCCTTATCTCCATCAGCAACATCATCTCCTGTAATCTTCATTCCATCTTCATCACATAGCATGACACCAGTCTGTCTTAAATATTGCAGGGCAACACCACAATTTGCCAAATTCTTTTTATGGGTGTCTGAAGGAACTATCATTTTCTGCACCACGCAACAAGCTGCTAAGTTAAAATTACATTCCATTTGCTGCTTAATATAAGAGATTGAACCTGAAGAGTTGAGTTTGGGGGTATAAGATAGAAATACCAACCATGAGGATAGATGGTTCATGTTGTAAAAGTTGAATAGCTCTACAGAGACGCACCCCATCTTGAAGATCCACAAATAAATCTGATACTTGGAAGTCAAACTCAACAAGGGCAGACTGCACTAAGCAAAAACTTTGGATGGTAAAAAGAACAGAAAAAGAACCTATGGAGATAATGTATAATTATCAGTATGAAATGCCTCAAAATCAAGCTGCAAGATTGTATATTAGTGTTAAAATGTACAACTCATGTATGCATAAGCACCCACAAGCACATAAGAACTTTACAGGGATTAAATTTAAACCACATACCTGCTGATGAGAAACTTTATACCCTACAATCACTAGATGTGCGAGAAGATTACCTTCCCCATGCATAACATCGGATGATAAGAAATCTAGTTTCATATCATAAAGGCAACATTAGTGCATACAAAGATAACACATGTAGCTGTAAATTAAGCAACAATAATATTGAAGTAAGAAGTTGCTATAGAATTACCATTAAGAACTTGACGACTTGATTTTATACCAGATGAAACTGTGAATAAAAGAGGAGAACCCCCGTCCACTCCATCAACACCATACTTGAGGGGAAGACTGGTCTGGGATTTGGCTTGATCGAGGATAAGAACAAGCAACAAAATTCTCTTCAATATAACATTTCCCAAATTCTCATAGTATCCCGGTCTGTACAAACCTTCAACCTTCTTGTTATATGCATACGCCTTCGCAAGTCCAGAATGTGAGAAAAATTGCTTGTCAATTACCATCTTCAAAAACGAAATATCTTGCTCGGAACTAATATCTTCCTCAGATGATAACAAGGACTCACCACCAAAAACAATGTACAACCCAATTCGGAGCCAAATTGGGTTGTAAGACATAAGAATTTTAGAAGCCTTTTGCTTCATTCCAACATCTGTAACTATAGGACAATGTGACTTCATTTTTAACCTCCCTTCATCTATATTCTGAAAATTGATTAAAAACAACAATAAACTCCAATGCTACCAATAACAAATTATAACCAATAAGACTAATTACAAATTTGTAGAAAAGAAGATATTTAAAACTAAACAATTAACTAGTTTATCCCACGGTGCATTTACAAAATAAGAAGTTATGTCACTAGTCAAAGTATCTGTCTTTTCTGCAGAGAACAACAGAGAAAACAAGAAAAAGATAATAAATTTAGAGAAGCAAACCTTGACGACTTGAGTCATGACGTTGAAAATCTCCTTGCAACTCCCCAAACTCAAATAAATCCGCATCCGCTGCTTCAAATCATCGAAACTACAAACTTCCTTCAACGAAAACCTCAAAGCCGAATACTTTGAACCAGAAATATCCGCAGCCACGTTCTCCGATTCCTCCCCTCTCCACCACAACTCTCTCATCCTTTTCGGGCTTCTCCAGGCACTGTCCACACGAACAACATTGTTATCCTCGCCGCTGATAGAGACATCACAGCCGCAAGACTTAGGATTTCGGTAAAGGAAATTGAGCCAAACGGTGAGGGACTTCGATAATGACTTGAGAGATTGTTCTTTTCTGGCTTGTTCCTTGCGAGCGGACTGACATTGCTCGAGCTCGAAGGCTTTGAGCTTCCGAGCAGCGGCGGAGGAGGCGGCGGTTCGAGAGCGGGAAGAGGACAGGGCAAGGGATGGTCGAGAGCGGGGGCGAAATGAGGAGGACGACCTCGGAGTTTGCTTTGAAGCAGTGAAGAACTGAGGGCACGGGGAGTGGAAATTCGAATTCTTTGAAGTGCGTTTGGGGGTTTTGAAATTTGAGATGTCTTTGAGAAGGAAAGAAGAAGAAGAAGAAGCTGACGAAGGAACAGGCTCTTCCTCCATTCCTTTTCTTCTTGCTCTTCTGCTATGCTTTGATCAGTCGCTTGCTGTGTGAATTTATGGCGGAGATTTGGGTACAAAGAGAAGAAATCGAGACGGGAGAGGGAAGGAGGTTTCTTGTTTTTGAATTTGAAAATGAGGAGCGAGAGCCGAAAAAGCGCCACTAACGTCATGATGAAGCCGGTGAGCTTGGGTCACAGGCACGTGTGAGGAGCCCGCTAAAAAGATTTCACACGTGTTTCCAAAGGCCAGAAGTGGTTGTGGAGCTCCGGATCCAATTCGGAAAAGCTATTGGAGGCCCATGTAAATGCCCGAAAACTCAACCACCATAATGGGCCGAAGATCACCCGACATTTTTATTTCCCCAAAAATACTAAAACCTCACTAGGGTGTCCACTAGAGAGTAAAGAGGAAAAATATTTGTAACGCATCTAATTATAAATTTTAAAATTTATATTTTATTGAACTCGGTTAATAATATTTTATGAAAATTCGAATTCACTTATAATATATCTTAATTATGCTTAAATGAATTCATATTGTTAGATATTCATTTACGATATTATGTATTATTGTTTAAAAATAAAAATTGTAAATTTAATATTTTTAAAAATTTTAATATGCAAAATGTCAATTTGACGTTTTAGATAAAAAAAAATTTCTTCTATACAGCTTGAAGCAGCTCATCGAAAATGCCACCCAACATGAATTGATCTTCAAGTAGAATGTCATATAGTATATGTTAAGACAAAATAGTATATAGAAAATGAGAAGAAAGAACCAAAAACTCACAAGAATACAGCTAATGATTTAGATGGAAAATGAAATGATTACTATCTAACAGTAAAAAGATATATCGAACATTTGATTTAATGATTGATTTGTAAAGACATTATTGATAAGTGATGTATTAACATGAACTTTTTCCTATAAATACAACAACTTTCTCTCCTCCCAGATCACCTTAATCATAAATTTCACAATCTTTTTCACCTTTTTTTCTTTGCCTTGTTCCTCTTTACCTTGCCCTGACAAGGAAAACATCCAAAAAGCTCCCACCTGGTTCCTTAGGGTTCCCCCTCTTAGGCCAAAGCCTTAGCTTTCTGCGAGCAATGCACACCAACACAGTAGAACAGTGGCTTCAAGAGAGAATAAGAAAATATGGTCCCAGTTATAAACTCAGCCTCTTTGGTACTCCTAACAGCTTTCCTACATGGGCAGGGTGCTGACAAATTCATCTTCACTGCTTGTGATGGCAATATACTTAAAAATCAGCAACCACCATCGGTTAGAAGGATCTGTGGGGAGAGACATATGACAGAGTTGGCTGGTGATGAGCACAAGCGTGTGAGGGGAGCAGTTGTATCTTTTCTGAAGCCTGAAATGTTAAAGCAATATGTAGGGAAGATGGATGAGAAGGTTAGGAGGCATCAAGAGACGCATTGGCATGGGATCAAAAGGTCATGGTAAGTTCAATATCATGGCAAAACACAAGCAGATCCTAAGCTGATATGTAAAAATTGTAAATAACCCAAATTCTATGCTGCATTATCTTGACAGATCCTTTTTCTTTCCTTCTCACAACTATATATGCAGGTAATGCCATTGATGAAGTCTCTCACTTTCAACATAATGAGCTCACTCATATTTGGTATAGAACATGGGGAAAGAAGAAATACCCTTGTAGAGCTTCTCCAACATATGATGAACGGCCTGGTGTCACTACCAATAAATCTTCCCTTCACAAGGTTCAACCGCAGCCTGAAAGCCAGCGCAAAGATCAGAACACTGTTCAAGGATCTTATCAATGAAAGGAGGGCAGCCTTGGAGAAACGCATTGCTGTTCCTAATAAAGATCTCATCACTTGCTTGCTTAGCATCGGAAATAATGACCCTTCAGTTCTGATGACCGATGAGGAAATCGTTGATAATGTAATGGGTGTAATTATAGCTGGACATGACACATCGTCCGTTCTCATTACCTTCTTGGTCAGGCATATAGCTAAAGATCAATCTGTCCATGAGAACATCACGAAAGGTAAGCAAACAATTCAGTTTCCATAATCAGGGAAAGAAAATTTACAGTCTACTTAGTGAACTTGAAATTGTAGAACAAGCGGAGATTGCCAAGACCAATACTTCAGCGCTTCTAACGTGGGATGACCTTGCCAGGATGAAATACTCCTGGAGAGTAGCAATGGAGACTTTAAGGATGAACCCTCCTCTGATGGGTTCTTTCAGGAAGTCATCAAAGACTTTGAAGGGTACATTATCCCCAAAGGATGGCAAGTATGTATCATCCTTCACCTCTTGGTTCCATTAACTAAACTGTTCTTTTGATTGTGACTTGGTATCTGATTCTGAAATTTTTCAGGTGATTTGGGCTGCATGCGTGACACACATGGATATGCGGGTTTTCCTTGATCCATATAAGTTTGATCCAACACGTTTCGAGAAACAAGCATCGACACCACCCTATTGCTTTGTTGCGTTCGGAGGAGGAGCCAGGATTTGTCCTGGAAACGAGCCTGCAAGGATTGAAACCCTGGTTACAGTTCATTACCTGGTGACCCGATTTAAATGGAAGCTTTGTTACCCAGACAATTCCTTCACCAGAAACCCATTCCCAGTTTTCAGTCATGGGATGCTGGTAGAAATTGAGCCCAAGAACCCTGTCAGGATCCATTACAACTCAAGCAAAGAGCTTGCCTAGTGTAAACTTTTCAATGGAAATTGCTAATAAGATTCTGGCATCTACTCGCAAATCAGTGAAACTTCTGCTAGCTACATGCATTGGATACTATTCACCATGAGCTATGCTCCCATCCTATTCCACAAACTAAACTCCATTAAAACTTGTGAGGATTACCCACCACGGAGACATTAGCACTTAGCAGATACACATGCAAATGGAACAAAACTATTAACAATTCTCACTTTCTTCATGAAAATTTTGTTAATAATTTGTTAAAATTTTTATTAAATCAAAATAAAAAATAAAAATTTAGCCATGAAAATGTGAGTAATATTGATTGGTTTGTCCGCCTCCTATCATTCATCATACTTGGATAAAATCAATTAAAGGCATTCTTGTTATTATCAAAAGAAATTAAAAAAAAAGCAAGATAATCACTAAATATACTTTTTTTTGGCCAAAACTAATTAGAAAATAAGTTTAATTTGACTCCTTTTAACATTTATTTAATGTTTACGAATATCAATAGATATGGTACTTATTATTTTTAGAAGCCTTAATCGAATACGATTAATTAATAAGTACTCAAATTTTATAAATATTTTATATAATTATTTTAAATATAATTCATTAAATATTTAAATTTTACCCTTAAACCTGATTATTAGATATCTTAATTTTTTTTAATCGGGTTAAATAAATACATATTATCAATTACATTTTCACACGACATCTATTACCATAAAGATTTATTATCTTTTCCCTTTTTTCCAAATGTTGTTGGATTACAAGAAAGTATTATAGTATCACCCAAATGGAATCCCATTGGTCCGTGTAAACCACGCGCGTTCTGATTCGCTTGGATTTGTCACTAAACGAAACCAAATTGTGCGTATTATATTTTCTGTGCTATTTCACACTTTCCTACATTTCTTCAAGGAAAACAAGAAAGCTCTTTGTTTCGATCTTCAAAACCTCCAAAACCCAGAAATTTAAATTGACAATTTTATCGAATTTGCCCTTCAAATATCTTGGATTAATTCTATTATTGTGGAAATCAGAAGGAGCATTTTGTTAAAAGAAAAAAAAATGGCTCAAGCTGTTGAAGAATGGTACAAGCAGATGCCCATCATCACCCGTTCTTATCTCACAGCTGCCGTGGTTACCACTATTGGTTGCTCTCTCGAAGTATGCATCTTTTTCCTTCGTTTTAAATTTTCGTTTCTTTTTCTGGTATGTTTAAATTGTTTTTCGGTGTTATTTTTCTCAATCTGGGCAATAGGATTGTGATTGTGTCTTCAATTTTCAATGAACAGTGCAATCTTTCTAAGTTTCTGTGCATATGGGTATGATTCTTTTAGGTTGATTTGAGTTCTGTTTGTCTCAATTTTGTAAATTTGGTGATTGCCATTGGATTTGCTATTATGGTTTTTCAGTTCATCTTTCATTTTGGGAATTTGGGCATACAAAGTTGACTTTGTTATTCACTTTTGAAAAAGATGGTTTTTTTTTTTTTTTTGTGTATGATAGGCAATTGGGTGTGATTTGTTATGCTCATATGATTTAGTTTTCTCTTTGCAGATAATATCACCTTATCATCTGTACTTGAACCCTAAGCTCGTGGTTAAGCAGTATCAGTTCTGGCGCCTCATTACTAACTTCCTGTACTTCCGCAAGATGGGTAAATTTCATGTGCTTTTATGTCTGAGTGTCTTCAAATCTCTGGACTGTTATGCCTTGGGAACGACGTTGTATAATATAATGTGCACCTTTAACACGGTATCCCTTGATAATGCCAGATTTGGATTTCATGTTTCACATGTTCTTTCTTGCTCGTTACTGCAAGCTTCTTGAAGAGAACTCTTTCAGGGGAAGGACTGCGGATTTTTTTTACATGCTCTTATTTGGAGCTTCTGTCTTGACTAGCATTGTTCTTATTGGAGGAATGATACCTTATCTCTCTGAGTCATTTGCCAAAATCATATTTCTAAGCAATTCATTGACATTCATGATGGTAAGTCTGTCTGCCTTTGTTTTCATGCAAAATGTTTTTTACTAATTAGTGTATGTTCTCTGGTAGTCATCTTATTTTACCACTCCTTGTAGGTATACGTGTGGAGCAAACAGAATCCTTTTATACATATGAGTTTTCTGGGTCTTTTTACCTTTACAGCAGCTTATTTGCCCTGGGTGAGTGCTTCAATTCATTCTATCCTTTTTTTATTGTTCTTCAAGTATGTATCTTCTATTTCAAAGCATTTACAGGTTTTGACGAAGAAAGAAAAAGTAGTTATGGTGGATTTTCCCACTGGGAGAAAGTTTTATTCTTCTTATTTACTTTTGTGGGTTTGATCCTAATTCTCCCTAGTTGTAGAGTGTAATGGCTTCTTTCCCTTGTCTGTCTTTCAGGTGCTTTTGGGATTCTCTGTCCTTGTTGGTGCTAGTGCTTGGGTGGATCTCCTGGTGCGTTTCCATTTCCAGAGCCCGCTTTAATGTTGAAATAGTGGGATAGTGTTATTTGTAAACATTTTCTGCATATCTCCAAAATCCATTAGTAGTATGTTCCCCCCTGAGTGGACAGAAGCTATATTAGTGTAATTAAGCTCTTTCGTAATCATCATCTATGCTCACTGCTGGAAAGGTCTTCTGTAAGGACTGAGTCGGTACTTGTAATGATGTGGTGGTCCTATAAACTGCCCCCTGTTCTAGTCTCACTTTGCTTAGATCCTCACTGCTGCCATGTTAAACTTTTACCTGTTTTCACTTATCATTGTTGCTCTTGTAGCTTTTCTTTGTCAAACTAACTATTTTGTCGATCCAGGGAATGATAGCCGGTCACGCGTACTATTTTCTTGAAGATGTATATCCACGAATGACTGGTCGCCGACCCCTAAGAACTCCATCCTTTATTAAAGCACTGTTTGCAGATGAGGCTGTAGTGGTAGCACGGCCAGCAAATGTGAGATTTGCTCCACCACCCGGGGAGGAATTTCACAGAGATTGATCTCCCCCTGCGAAAAACTAGACGAAGGGAGGGTATCTTTGGTTGAAGTGATCTCTGCTCAGACATAGCAAAGGCCTACAAAAGTGTGGCTGGCCCATTTCTTAAAAATGTTCAAGCTTACATTTTCGTTGCATTAGACGTTAGCTGTGTATATTTGATGTTGCTGCTGCTATACAGTTATTCGGATTTTGGGATGGAAGTTTTGTAATTTATACCTAGACCGAGTGGTTTTGGTTGGTATAGGATGCCCTTTTGTGCATTTGTTTTGACCAAAATTTTAGCAACATATATAGTCACGAAAGTGATGTTTTCCCCTTTTCCCCTGGAGTCAGAACTCTCATCTTGTTGCTCCAGGCCTTGAAATTTGTTTAGTTTCATGGTGCATGGCCTTCTTATGCGTGGACAATCCTCAGCAAAGGTGAGCAGATGTGTGGAAACTCACTCTACTGCTGTAACTCTGAGCAATGTCAAAAACTCGCCTCCCATGCCTTGTGTAACGGTTTAGGAGAGGAGTGAAATTTATATTGACAGTGTATTAAAATGAAGTTTGGATATTTAACTGTTCATATGATTTTCCACCTACGAGACATTTTGTTGCAAGATAAAATCATAAAATTTAATGAATTAAAATAAACAATACTCTCGTGACACATTGCTCGTGTTTTTTCCATGAAGTATTTTATAGACTAAATGCCTTACGATGCAGCTAGAAGACACAAAAACATAATGGCAGCCAATTGGAGAGGAAAAAAAAATTAAACTAATATCATTTCGACCAAGTCTTTATAACAAACCAAAAAGTTCAATCTCTAAGCACAAACAGACGCAACAACTACTACATTGATGATTGAACCTACAAGAAAAAAATTTTCTTCCAGTCGTCGACAAATAATGCAAAAAGAGAGTAAATTAACCAACTCTTTGATCACATAACCCTTGAAGAAATCAATTCAATCATCTCCCTTAACAAAGCTGCAAATATCTATGTAATATACATGTAAAAGATTTTGCCGGCACCATGAGCCATTCCAGTTCTATTTCTGGTTTGTTCTCTGGCTCTGCTTCTTACTCAATGCTGACAGTAACTAACCCTCTGAACCATGCCAAAACCATTTTTCTAGGAGAAAAATTAATCCTACGAACAAAGAAGCATTCTGGCTAACGGATGGGGTGATATTGGGCAGATATTCTCTTCGGAGGCAACTTACGCAGGATGTACAAGACTAGAGCTGATGGTAGGATCTCAACCACCTGTAATTTGATCAATGGAAATTACATACTTAGGAAAATAAATGTTAGAAATAGGAGGAAACAAATAGAAAGAATTGGTAGAATACCATGTAATAGATCAGGTTTAAAACTGGATGGTCCAAAACATCAAGTGATGCATCTGAATCAAAAGCAGATAAAACCACCTGCACATAGGGAAATGAGAGCCAAATTGTTTGGGTCAAATATTAGCATCAAACATTGTTGATAACCCATTTTATGAGAGCCAGAAATTACTCATAACATTCTACTTCATCACCAATTTCTATTGATAAGACCATCTAAGAAGGAAACCTAGGAAGAGAGAACTCAGGTGAAGCATACCCGCTTGCCTCCCTCTCCAACCCTCTCCATGGGAAAATGCTAACTTTGTACTTATATTCAGCTATTCACATATTATTAGGAGTATTTAGCCAGAGGCAAACTACCTGCTCCTGTGCACCTCTTCCAGTCACTTTTAGCCAAAATGTCCAGAAAAGGACAAACTCCATGAAAGGTTCAAGCTTCCTTATGATTCAAAGGAAGGGAAAAAAGAGAACCAAACTAATTATGGGATTTTACTAAAAAAAAACTAGATAAACTTAAATCTCCCACAGGTTATCTCACATGTGAAGGATGTAGCATGTCTAAATTCATGCATACTTAAGTGTTCAGATTATTAATTTGCCTCAGGATATAAAAATCAAATAGATTGTCATCTGTTGAGAACAGAGAGACACCGCTGTATAAGTTATATACAAGTGACATACTGAATGATTAACCTACCACAGAGTTTGGTCCAAAATGAAAAACTTACCACAAAGCACCTAATAAGAAAGCAGGTGAAACAAATGGCTGTAACAGATCCAACCTACAAAAAAAGAAGACATCAAGTCAACAATACTAATGCCGAGAAAGTTCTACAACAAACTGAGCCTTTTACCAGCTGCATACAATCGGCTATATGGTGTTGCTGTACTCTATTCAAGAACATATTTCAATAAATTCATGAACAGGCCCAAATTTGTTTAAAGTAATTTCCCCAGACTTATGCCAAGTTAAAAACCAAGCAATTAGCACATAGAAAAGCACATTAAACTTCTGCTATGTGGAATTATAGAATAAATAAATTCTTATTTACTACGTGAATTATATGGGAAGGAAAATACCTCATGAAGCTTCTTCCTTCTTCCTTTTGATTCAATAGGGAAACGTCTTAGCATGAAAAACAGTCTGGAAGCATTGCCCATGAAATTCCATGGAGAAAATGCATAAACAAGAATAGTAACGAGTAGAGTGAGCAGCGGTAGGGCATCTTTAAAAATTCAAAACTCTAAACACAATAGCCATAAATATTGTGTTAATAAACAACAATTACCTTCCTCCATACAACAAGAATCCTAATGCAGCTATAAATGACACCACTGGAGAAAACAATAAAGAAAATAAGTGGCACAATTAAAACAAAAGAAATAAACCTTAACCTGCATAAAGCTTCTATTGAGAAAAAGACTAATTAATATGCAGAGATAAACCTTGTGAAACTTGTTTTGATGATTCACTGTTACAATTACCTGCAATAAAGATTTTTCCAATGAATTCCACCACACTGTTGTCATCTATCCAGAGGTATACCCAAATGCAGACCTGATGTCAAAACTTCATTTTGGTAAACTTCACTTACACATATCATAAGGTTTCTATGGAAGCTCGAGGATGTATTAGAGCTAGTTTTGGCAGGAAACTTTGAGATAAAAACTTCAGAGCGTAATAAATAAACAGATACAATAATTTCCTTCAGAGATTAACCAGGTGTTAATGATGGGAATAAGCAACGTAAACAGTACAAGAGTAACCAAGTTGGAGCGCACCTGTATAAAGTAAATAACACCATTGATTGACATATAAAAAATTCTGAGCTTATCCGTTGGTAAGCTTCTTGCCTGCTCATAAGTAAGGTAAAATGTCATACTTCCTCACAGAAGTACAAGAAAGAACCAAGCACACAAGTTTGTAACTGAAGTCAATTGACCCAAGACAAGCCAAATTTGACACATCATTTCACAAAAAAAAACTAAGAAAAGTCACTTGCCTGATGATAAATCTCTGCCCAAAACAGGACAAGTAATGTGTACGTGGAGAAAAACAGAAGACCCGGAAGATCCAACAGTACAAGTGTGAGTACCTAGGTCAATAAGTAATGGTTCATGTCAATATAAAAGCCTTGTGTCAATTAGATCATAACACTTGTTAGTTGTGTACTCTATTTTTCTCTGAAAGTAGCATTCTCCTTCAATTCCCTTGTATTACCCAAAAGCCTTAATTTGTCTGAGAAACTTAAACAATAGGGACCTAGATGAGACAAATTTGCTTGGCAAGCCTAAATATAAAATGTAATCTTATTGAATTCGAAACCCAACACAAGTTTTGTGTCAGACAATAAGAACTTTAGTATATGAACCAAAATCTCTTGATTCCATAGCAAACTAACCTTGGGATGCAATACAAATACTTGTTTGTGAAATCCAAACACAATTGCACGCACTGCAACAACAAGAAAACTCACAATCAAGTAATCAAACTTATGTCCTAAATCGTAATAACATCATAAACAAAAAATACACTCCAAATGTTTGGAGGACTTTGAACATCACCTCCATTAACAATGAAGTTCATAAGATGGAAAACCTTCTGTGTAGTCCAACCATATTCAGGCACTCTCAATTCAATCCTTATTAATTGTATCTGCACATTACAAACACCAACTATTACCTACAAACTAATCTAAGATCCTAACACCGTAAAGAAATTTGCCGATGAATAATGAAAGTTGCAGTGAAATTAACATCTAATAAGCTTTAATTTCACATCAAATACTTACTCAAATCATTTAAATAAAAGAAATAAATGTATTAACTGAGGGAAAATAAATATGACAATTATCACAATGTCACTATCTAAACGAACTGAATCATTTGACTCCTAAAAGGTTGAAAACTATTAAAATGAAAAAATGCAAAAAACAATCAACTCTGGAAACAAATCCTCTACTCAGCACTGATCCAAAAAGAAAATCGAACAGTGAATCAAATTAAAAAACAAAAAAGGCACATAAACTTGAAAAATCACAAGACGAAAGAGAGGAGATGACCAGAGCAACGGAGGACACTAGGGCATAAGCGGCGCAGAGAGCGTAGAAGATGCCATCCTGCCACTGAGTCGACTCATTGATCTCGTCCCACCAATCGGACACCAGAGCTGGAAGCTCCATAGGCGCTAAGCTCAGTGGTATGCTCCTCATTCTAACCATTCCTCTTATTTTTCCCGAGCTTTCCCGGGAAAGTCAAAATCCCTCACAGCCAAACAGAGAAGGCAAAAAAAAAACCCCCAAAAAATAAAGGGCAGAAAGAGAAAAGAAAACTGAGAAGCCGAGAAACGAAAGGAGACAACTGTGAGAGAGACGAAGAGAGAGAAAACAATTGAAGGGATTTTTTTAAAGTTTAGATTATTTTAAGTCTACCGGTCAGTCCAAAGAGCTGGAGCTGATAACTAATTTCCATTGATGAAGTTGTGAGGCTTTCTCCTTCCCCTTTTGGTCGCTCTCTTCACCCGGGTCTCACCTAAGCTTCTACGAGTTCATCTACGAACGTGATGGTGGTTGCTATTTGCCATTTTGCCCCCATTTTTTTTTTAATTTTTTAAAGTAAATTTTATTTAAAACCTTCTCGATTTACTTTTTTCCTATAAATATCGTTTCTCTCGATTAATTTTTAATTAAAAAATATTCACATTATATTTATTAAAAAAAATCATAAAATGTCATGAAAATAAGTAAAATTTACCATTTTTTTAATAATCTTCTATTTCTCAGTTTTATTTTCCCATGTGCATAAATTTAAAAAAAAATTATATTATAAAAAAATCTCAATCATTAAATAATAATATCAACATGTTATGAACAAAATAAGATATTATTTTATGAAACAATATCAATATCATTTTAATTATGATTATACTTTATATGCTTATCTATTGATAAGTAGAATTTAGACAATCCTTATCATTTTTCATGACGTTATCAAAGAAAATCATTTATAAATCATTTTTATTAAAATAAAATAATAAAAATATGCATACTTTCTTTGTTTTCTTTATTTATTTATCGTACATATAATCTAATTATAACGCGACAGAAGTGTGTTACGTTGTGTAATTTTTAAAACGGGGGGGTGGGGATTAAGTGAGTTAGAGGATCACGTGTCGCAGATGAAGATATGCTCTAATGAGATTCCGACGGGGGTCCCACAATGATGGGACGCGGTCAGGGAGGGAGTACTAATTTAACAGCATGCTGACGCGAAGTTTCTTGGTGCCCCTGGCCCAAGGGCCCATGGCCGGCTTTGGCGGTGGTTCTTTTTGATTTTTCCTCTTCCCTAATTTTTTATATCAATTGTTTAATTATTTAGGGCCCCCATTTTCAATTCAAATTATTAATGCAAACAAAGCTACATTATGATTGCTTAAATATTGTCTCATATGACTCAATAATTATAAACTCAAACTTTTTATTTTTTAATGATTTTTGCCTATTAATTATTATTTCCTTCATCTTATAAATAATATCTAAATTTAATTTTTTTCACAAACTAATTTTTTTAATTTTAACTTTTAATATTTTAAAGATTTTATTAAACTAAATTTTTATGAAAATGAATTGAATATTGCTCCATTCAAAGTTTTCAAAGAGTACTTTTTTTATATCTTAATTAATAACATATTTTCAAAAATTAAACATTAAACAGTTGGTGTAAGCTCCTCTAATTTTATTACTAGGATTAATTTAAAGTCAAATACTTAAAAAAAAAAAACAAGGCACTTCAATCTCACATCAAACAAATAAAAAAAATCTTGAAAAGCTTATAAATGTAAACACTATACTCTCACTTGGATTAATTTTTTTAAAAAAGGGAATTACTTGTAATATAGTGATTTTAAAATGAATTCAATTTAAACTCGATTCACATTAAGAATCTCTAAAAAAGAAATAGATAGGATGGTTAGTAACGACGAGAATGCTTTACAATCGAGTAGGATAAAATATCACGTCAAACACTTTAAAAAAAAATAAAATATACACATTAACATTGTAAATCTATCAACTTAAACTTCTAAAGAAATAATAACGGCCTTGTGACATTACCAACGACACATTCTAATTGTGTCATTTTTATGCAATCCAAGGACCAAAGAGTAGACATTCCAAATTTTTCCATAGTTGTTCTATTAACGGTTTTTTCCTTCTTCTTTCCCTCCCAGCCCCTTCTTGCCTCTTCTTTCTTGATAGAATCATGTTGCTTCTAGTTTCATTTAGTCTAACAGTGCTTAAAGTTAAATAATAGACGTAAACTCTTACAATTTGCCAAATTGGTTCCTTGCCCGCAACCATTGCTTACATGGGTTTACGTCTAAACGGGACTAGTTTGCTACAATTAAGTAAAGCATTATCTTGTCTTCCAAAGTCACATCAAATATGATATGAATAAAAATAGTGTAAGAATGTTTTTTAATTTGAAATATTAAGTAACGTTTTGAACTAGAGAAGAGAAAGTATATTTTTTGTAATACGTTTAATTATATTATATTGTAGTATATATTTTATAATAAATCACTGTAATGTAACATTACAATGCAATCATATAAACGAAAAATGTAACGTGATTGCAATCCAAAATTAATGTAATCACATTATATAGTACTATGTAATATTATTAGAAACATTTTTATCATTTAAATTTATTATTTTATTAAACATAATTTGTAATGTTATAATTAAAACAAAAATATTAAAATTAAATACATAATATAAGAATTAGAAATTAAAATAAAATATAAGAAATTGCAATTTATATAATATAAGTGAAAGAAATTAAGATAAAAGATATAATATAAAAATTATATTAAAGAAATGAAAATAAAATATATAAAACTATAATAAGAATTGAAAATAAAATATATTTAAGAGATGATACTATATAAAAATTAACAATAAAAAATATAAGTATATTAAACTTACATTTTAATAAATAAGATCAATTTTAAAAATTAACATTACATTCCTAATAAAGTACTTGTAAACCAAACACTGTAATGTTATATTCCCTGTATTTGAATCATTATTCTGCTTATATATCAAATATTGTAATGTTATTTTCCTTGTAATCACATTACTTATAATCATATTATATTATTAAGTACTAAATGTTACCTTAATGTTGTTAAACTCTAAAACGATTAAATTATTTCTAATAATAAATATTTTGTCGTGTAGTGTTATGGATAGTTCAATATTATGTTATTAGATTTATGAATGTAAAAAAATTATTTTATCGATGCTATGTTTCTGGAAAAATTTTATAAAAGAGGAACTTTGTGTCTATAAGTATGAGTTGTATATCTTATTAAGTTAATTTTTTTAAAAAAATAATTTCGTGACAAAGTGATATTAAAATTAATTTAGATTCAATTTTGACTCCTTTACAAGCATTTAAATGAATGAGAATAGCTAAGGTGACCTAACTCGTAATGACGACATCATGGATTCAGGTAGATAATATAGCATAATATATAAAAAAGTCCTTAAACTATTAAAAAAAGTTTAAATAAGTTCTTATACTTTTATTGTGTTCAACAAAATTCTTATAATTTTATTTTGAGTCACATAAATCTTTATATTTTTTTGTTTTGTGTCAAATAAATCTTTATAGCATTAATGATTAGCTCAGTCAAAATGTCATTTGTTATTTTATGTAGCATGACGCTGATATGGTATATTAAAATATCATAATTGATAATGATGTGGCATACTAACATATCATAATTGATAATGACATGACATTCTATTTTGGCATAATAATATGATTATGTGTCATTTTTCACTCTCTACATCAATTTTTTGTTAGTGCCATGTGAATATAAAATGATAAGTGACATTTTTACTAATGATAATTAGTCAATTATTAGTTATAAGAGCTTATTTGACTGAAAATAAAAATATGAGAGCTTGATTAAACGTAATAAAAATAAAAACTTATTTGAATATTCTTAAATAGTTTAGAGGCTTATTTGAATATTATGCCTAATAATATTATAAAATTAGATAAAATATTTAGACATCTTTAAGTTTTGATGAAAATTACATAGAGGTCAATTAGTTTTCAAAGTAGACATTTTGCTCCAAAAAATATTTTTGCTAGACACATAAGTCCTGTCATTAATCAACTATCAATATTTTTGTTAATTTGATGATATGGTAATATTTTAAAGATAATTTTATCTTTTATTAATTTAAAAATTACTATTAAATAAATTATAATTTTTATTTTTTTCAAAATTTTTTTTTGACCATTTGTGATCAATGGTCGGGCTATCAGATTGGAGCTCCAATACTCCTGCGGGGATCCCAATCGAGGCTTCCAAGGGAGCACTAGATTTGGTGCTCCCTTGAAAGCTTCGGTGTTCTTTTAGGGAGCTCGATTTAGGGCTCCCCAAGGGAGCACCAGATCTAATGCTCCCTTGGGAGCCCTAATGCTCCCTAAGGGAGTGCAAGGTATGGTCGATCGATGTAAGGAGAGGTTGTTGGTCAACCTGCTTGAGAGAAAAAAAAATATAAATGATATTTTAGATATTTCATATTTAACATTAATATCATTTAAATGTTTGGGGTAGAATACCTACTTTAAAAATTAATAAAATTTTGTATAATTTTTATTAAAATTTAAAACTATTTTAATAGTTTTTTTTATAAAATTTCACATCCAGTAGGTAAAAAAGATTGTGGGCCTTTATACACAAGAAGTAACGCTTTTCAAATGTCAATGTCAAAACCACAAGGAGTAACAGCCCATCAAGTTTATTTTTGATTATGTATTTATAGAATGACAAACACTTATTCAATCGGATCCGTGGCGCAATGGTAGCGCGTCTGACTCCAGATCAGAAGGTTGCGTGTTCGATTCACGTCGGGTTCAAATCCCTATTCGGTCCGGGTCCCCGCCTTTTTCTTTTTCTTCCCGCCGCACTCTTCTCACTGATCTCAAACTTGGAAACCCCAAAACCCTAGCTACGTCCGAATCACCTCCAAAAAAATGGCTTCACTCTCTCGCATCCGTGCATCAACAACTGCCGCGACTTTCCGCCTCCGTCACTTCTCGATCCTCGCCCCGGACTCCTCCCACCCCTCTCAACTCCCACCAAAAAACACGCGCTGCACTCTCCCTCCTTAAATCCGAGCAAAACCCCGACCGTATCCTCGAAATTTGCCGCGCCGCCTCCCTCACTCCAGCCGCGCACCTCGACCGAATCACTTTCTCTGTAGCAATCTCCAAACTCTCTGAAGGCAAGCATTTCCAATCCATCGACACTTTCCTCCACGAGCTCCGTTCCCGCCCTGACTTACAAAACGAGCGTTTCGCTTCCCATTCTTTAATCCTCTACGGTCAAGCCAAGATGCTTAACCACGCCTTAACGGCCTTTGACGAGTTTTATAATGAAGGGTTATGCCGTTCGGCGAAATCCTTAAACGCTTTGCTTGTGGCGGGGATTATATCGAAGGATTATGAAGCAGTGAAGAGGATTTTCCTGGAATTTCCTAAAAGGTATGGGATCGAACCCGATTTAGAATGTTATAATTCTGCGATTAAAGCTATGTGTGAATCTGGGTTTTCGAGTTCAGCTTATTCCATTTTGGTTGATATGAAAAGTAAAGGGGTTCTACCAAATGCGACGACTTTTGGGACTTTGTTAGCGGGGTTTTATAGGGAGGAGAAGTATGAGGATGTCGGGAAAGTGTTAAATTTGATGAAGGAAGATGGGGTTCCTGTTGGGGTTAGTACTTATAATACAAGGATTCGAAGCTTGTGTATGTTGAAGAAGTCTACTGAGGCAAAGGCTTTACTTGATGGGATGCTGTCAAGAGGGATGAAACCGAATACGGTCACGTATAACAATTTGATTCATGGGTTTTGTAAGGAAGGGAATTTGGAGGAAGCTAAGAGATTGTTTAAGAGTATGAGGAATTCGGGTTTGGAGCCGGATAGTCAATGCTATTTTACTTTGGTGCATTTCTTGTGCCAAGGTGGGGATTTTGAGGCTGCTTTGAGTATTTGTACGGAGAGTATGGAGAAAAATTGGGTTCCAAGTTTTTCATCTATGAAATCGCTTGTGAATGGACTTGCTAGTATGTCTAAGGTTGAGGAGGCAAAGGAACTTATCCAGAAGGTTAAGGAGAAGTTCTCAAAAAATGCAGATTTATGGGATGAAGTTGAAAAGAGTTTGACCCAATAGAGAAGCTAACTAGGGTGTCCTAGAGTTTGTTATTTAAGAGCTTGAGCATGAATTATTAAAGCCAGTCAGGCCAGTTTTGTATGGAAATGAAACTGAATAGGGCATTTTCTCATGAACAGGATGGATCCGATTTCATTTTGTTTCTTGAATTGGTGTAGGATATGGAACTTTTATGTCATTCATTAGCTATTCCATGTATGCGAGTGTGTGTGGAATTAGTACTCGCATATTTCAGAAGTCAAGTAATAACTTTTACATGCACTTGCTGATAATGCATGGCTCAAGGAAAGTTGTGGTGCATACTGATACTTTTTCTTGGATCAGCTTTAAGATTTTTTCTTCAAAACTCAAAAGTTTCCCCTGATTTAATTGAGAGAATAATAATGGCCTAGTGCCCTCATCTGTTTCAGCTCAAAGGTATTAGATGAATTCCTAATTCCCTTCCCCTTTGAGTATATATTTCATATTAGGATTTACCATGAATCTGTTACTTTGTTGCTTGAACCTATGTTGATTTGAATGCCTGCAGCTGTAGCTCTTAGGATAGAAGCCTGTTGAACCAATTGGTGGTTGTCTGTTTTTTTATGGATATACTTCATACTGTTAATTATCATGAAATTATAACTTACAATCATGTTTTTGATCTAAATCACAAGTAAATACCGTAAACTAATTGATAATTTAATACTTGGTAAAATTTCAAGGCTATGGATGGTGCACACTTTAGTTGGCCACTATAGAGGGTATTAAATACCAAAACTTCAAGGATTACCAACCCTGCTCCATTTACAAGGCTTGATAAATGATTCGGACGGTGCATACTTTTGTCTAGTGTGGTCTGATCGTCATTCTTGTGATGCTCATCCTTCAAACTGTTGCATTCAAGTTCATAGCACAAGATCCCATGCTGTCCTAACCTGGGACCATCGAAAATACTTGGTTGCAGGAGGCCAGCAATAGAAGCTTTTTCATGGTCAAACAAAAACTGAAGGATCAGTTTGAGTCACCCCTACTTATAAGTGTAGCTCAAGTGAAAAGAAAATGAACACAAGATGGATTGTGTGACTGAGAAATGGCAGAAATCAATACAATTTTCTTAAAGAGGTTAAACATCTAGAACAAAATTTTTTACATGATATAATTTGAAATTACTCTATGCTAAAAACCATTCTTTGCCAATGCCGTATTCATTGAGAGTTAATTGTTTCTGTCACTTCTATTACAAGATGGTGCAGGCCATGCGCAAGAAAGCAATGAGCTCCTTTTGACTCTACATCCAGTTTGTACTCTTACGAACCATTCCTTTCTTCCCTCCTAGAGCTATAAACGCTCACTCATCCGGTGCCAGAACACAGGGAACTCATCAAATTGTCTCAGAGTTGCACTGAAAACTCAAACTAAGACTTTCTTGTGATCAACCCGGGTCTCTTTCTCATGTATTGTGCTCCATATGCGACAGTAGAACCCACCGTTGTTGCAGCCACTAGCCAACTGTTGAAATGTCATGGAAAAATAAGTTTTTGTGACTTATATAATCTATGTAAGTGAGTTTGATTTAATGAGCAATGCACCAGCTAGTTTACCTTAAGTACGTTATACAAGATTGAGTTTCTGGTGTTCCAAACTCTGGTTGAAGGAGCGCTGAAGCAACTAAAATCAGCTGGAAAACTGTGTTAACCTGCAAAAATTTGAAGTCTTTTCAGATAGGGACGCATTAACCATTTTCACAATTCTCTAGATGGCTTCTTTCTATATGTTGCTACAGTTTTCCACACCTTGGTCTCACTATCTATTTGTAGTGGTTAAAATGTTAAAGAAATACAGGCTCCATTGCTAACCCTCTACTCCACCCAATCAGAAAAACAAAGTGTGAGGCTTACCTTGCTTATAAAGAGAGGCTCAACCTTCTGCGGACTAGTCCCATCAAGATTGAAGAAATCTAGCCAACTTTTCCACTGAATCAAACCAGCACAATACTAAAATAAATGACTGCCAAAGTTTGCCAAGCGGTAAAGCAATTTGTACAAAAAAAAAAAAAATAATGTGCCAATAAAGTTCGAGTAAAGCAACCTCACCTGCCAACCCAAGCTACTAGCTCTTTGGTACACAGCACCACTAACAAGGGCAAAATCTCGCAAGACAACTAGTCCGACTAGTCCAGCTTTACAGCACAGAAGACTATTAATAAGATAGGCATCATCAAACATTTACGGATAATATAGTACCTCCTATGCATATAAAAATCAAATACCGTACACAGATGACTACTACAACTGCTGTAATTCCCTGTATTAAGGGTTGTTGAAACAGAAATCAAGACAAAGGATTCTGAGGCAATTGACTATGATCATCCAGTATGATAATTCCAAATTTCCATTTGTTTGTGGATGCAAGGAAAGCGAGATAATATTCACATTCAAATGCAGATAATTGTTATTAGATTATACCAACTAACTCTAATAACCAGAGAATTGCAGAAGATCCGAACATATGCAGACTACTTACAGTGCAAAAGCTGGTTATGTACCATTGACAAAGCAACACATCCGATAAGAACCTATACCAAGAAGACCAGAAACTTGTCAACTGAAACTCAGAAAGAGTCAGGAAAATCTACAAAGAGTAAGTGGCATTTAGTCAGGTACCTTGTCAGCAAGAGGATCAAGATAAGAACCCACCACCGAATTAATCCTCATCTTTCTAGCCATGTATCCATCCAACTAGAAGAACAAGCAGAAATGATGGAAATGAACTAACTTCTCATGATTTATACAAAATTTTTCCTATTTTTTTCGATAATATGAAAAATGTCATGGAATCCGTACCCAATCAGTTGTACCAGAGACAGCCAATCCCACAAATGCAAAACCATACATTTCATTTACAATCATCCTGCATTAACTCATTAACTTAATTAATCACAGCAAAAATCAAATTAATTTAAGAATAAACCAAAATTGGTATTAAAGATTAGAACTTACCATCCAAGCAGAGGACCAGAAACCAATCGACTCATTGAAATTAAATTCGGCAAATTGACAAAACTCTCTACTACAGCTTCCGTCTCCTTATCCCCTTCCCGGTCGGTTTCCACCCGATTTGAGAATCTGGGGTCAGATAGAACAGACCCCAACCGTATCTTGACCGGAAACTTAGCGCCGCCTCTAACCAAATCAAGATTTAAAGCTTGGACTTTTCTGAAAACAGCGACGTTCCCCCAAAGTGGAGTGGCGGATTGAGAGAGTTTCCAGGGAGGAGAAGAGAGGAAGAGAGGGCCGTTGAAAGGAGCGATCCATTTGGAAAGAGATGGAGAAGAAGGCGAGACTCGGCTGTGGAAGAGAGGAGAGGACAGAGGTGGAATTATACAAGTCGTAGCATTTGTCGATGCCGCCGTCAAAAAAGTTCTGGTTTTTTCGGGGCTTTTCGTGATTAAAGATTGCAGAGATCTGTAAATCCCCATTGATGAAGCATTGCTTTGAACAGAAAGACCAAGACAAGAGAGACAGATACTGTGCCTTCGGAACGCTTTGTTGCGTTTTGATTTTCCTAGGTTTTGCAAGGGTTTAGGGAGATGATGATGCTGATGACGATGCCATTTTTGCCACGTGTCAGCTTTCCCTAATCTGCAACCATGCAAAGAATTCCAATATTTTTTTTAATTATTTTCTAAAATTTTAATAAAAAATATATTTAACTAAAAAAGGAAAAATCAATTAGATATGCATGGTTGAGAACAGTGGGCATGTGTCTTAGTTAGTCATCATCTTCCTCATTTACTGCATCCTCCCCCATGGCATTGAATAGGCCAATTATGGAATAGAAGTTGTTGGGAAATTTGTTAAATGGAATTAAAGTATATACGCGTCTGTTCTGTTCTACCAAACTTGTCAAACAATTTAACTCAGTTTTGGGTGTTTGATCTCTATCCATGATGATCCATAAGGTAGATGGAAAACAGCTAAATTTAGCGAAGTGAAACTGATATACAGGCCATGGTGATAAATGGGTGATTAATGGAAGCAGGCCCCTAGCCTTGCTAATATATGAGCAAGATTTCTGTTTCTGCTTATGTTTGTAATCTGGATCAAAGATATATGAAACAGAGTCTCTGCATTGGGAGGAGCCTTGGAGAGTTGTGAGAAAGGAGAATGAGTTGCCTCTTTTGTTGTGGGGTGGAGGTGCAGCGGCGTACTGGTTCGTTCAAGGAGAGCAGCCATGGCGTTGGAGGCAATAACAAGAATGGGAAATCGTTCAAGTCCTTCATGAACAATCTAACAGGCAAAACAGGTATGAATCAGAACATGTTCATTGTCAAATTTCATTGTGCTTTTTAATTCTTCACTTGATTCCTGATTGACAAGCTTCCAGAACCAAGCAAAAGGGTATCTTGATTGCATTTTTGGTACCTTGTTTCGAATGAGTGTCTTTCTGGAGATCTTGCTTTAGCCATGTTGATCAAATGTGCAGGTAGCAGCAAGCAGAAGATAGCTGAAGAAATCCAGAAAGTCGGAAAAGCTAAAGTTTCAGCTCGTATTTTCACATTCCGAGAACTTGTGATTGCTACTGACAACTTCAATCCTGATTGTCTGATAGGTGAAGGTGGATTTGGCAGGGTCTACAAAGGATACGTAGAGAGCATCAATAAAGTATCTCTCTTTTTCTTTGAATTGTTTTCGATGCATGCACTAACATGGCACGCTTAACTATATGCTTGGTTTTTCTTTTAACTCCATTTTAGATTGTAGCCGTGAAGCAACTCGATAGGAATGGAATGCAAGGGAGTAGAGAATTCTTCTCAGAGGTTCTGATGCTAAGTCTGGTTCATCATCCGAACCTTGTGAATCTGATTGGCTATTGTGCAGATGGGGATCAGAAAATTTTAGTTTATGAATACCTGCCAAACGGATCTTTGGAGAAACATCTTCTTGGTATGCTAATGGATACTTTTTCACTTATTTAATACTCATATAATCCTAATTCATTCTCCCAACTGATTGTATGAGCCGAGAGAGCTTGCTAGTGGAATACTGATTAAGAACTGAACATCTTGATTCTGATTATGTTATCTGTTAAATCAGAGTTATCTCCAGGTAAGGAGCCACTGGATTGGAATACTAGGATGAAAATAGCTGAAGGGGCAGCCAAAGGACTGGAATACCTGCATGACTTCGCCGAGCCGCCAATAATTTACCGTGACTTCAAAGCATCAAATATATTATTAGATGCCGACTTCAATCCCAAACTCTCTGATTTTGGACTTGCAAAGCTAGGTCCGACCGGAGGGAAGGACCATGTATCAACAAGGGTTATGGGAACCTATGGCTATTGTGCCCCGGAGTATGCAATGACAGGGCAGCTGACAACAAAATCTGATGTCTACTCGTTTGGTGTAGTCTTCCTGGAGCTAATCTCGGGAAGGAGAGCTATCGATATTGAAAGACCAAGTGAGGAACAGAACCTGGTCGCTTGGGTATGTTCAAGAACTTAATAATCACTCAGCAAAGAACAAATTCAATATTGACCGAAGGACAATACAAGTTCTCAGAATTATGATTCAATCTGGCAAATCCTCACCCCATGACCGAGACAATTACATGTGACCGTTGCATGCTTCTAGGTTTTTAAGGTTTTGAATTGAAGTTCATGATTCATCAATCTAAATTTCTTATCCATTCTCATTTCCATCTTGCAGGCAGAGCCATTATTTAAGGACAGGCAGAAGTTTACGTTGATGGCAGATCCCTTGCTTGGAGGGAAGTACACTGTAAAGAGTCTTTATCAAGCTCTTGCAGTCGCAGCCATGTGTCTTCAGGAGGAAGCTGATACCCGACCATTGATTGGTGATGTTGTAACTGCCCTTGAGTTTCTGGCCCGGCCAAAGGACACTAACAAAATTGCTGCGGAACCCGAAACAAACAGTAGCTTGCATGCTAGCTCCGTGAAAGAAAGGAAGTTCCAAAAGAGACCGTGACTTGTAGCCTAGCTGGGGTGAGCACAGTTGAAGCTTGGTAAAAATTGCAGAACTGAGCCAGCTTAAGTTGTTCGTACCATACTAGCGTGTTGTTGTGTAGATAATTGTGTATCTGTTGGCTTTTTGATTAATGGTGTTATCGTTTGAGTAGCAATCGTAGCCATTTCTAATGTGATTCTGGAAGCCACTTGGTGGTAAGTTTATGTTCGGTTGACTCCAGGAGAGAACCTGTTGTCAATAAATTTATGAATTTTGTTGAGGAATGCCTTTACCACGATAGGAGAATCAAGACATCATTGTTATCAATTCCGATATTTTTGGGAGAAAAACAATGATTTCCTTCCACTTTCTAGCAGGAAAAAGAAGAAGAAACAAAAAAGAAGGAACGTCAGGGCCCATTGTGGAACCTTAATGAAGGTTTCAGCTCCAGTGCCAAATTTACCATCACGTTTAAGGTTTCCCCATATGCAAAAGATGCTTAAAAGTTACAAAACTCTTTGACCTGAATCTCGTTTCTTAAATCAGAGCCCTCTTGACTGTTTTAGCTCCTGTTAAGACAGGGATTTTAATGGTGAACCTGTTTGTCAAGAACATTCAACGCAAATGACAGTAAACGACATGAAAGGCGCATATAACTTGTTTTGATAAACCACAAAACATAAAAACATAAGACAGGTGATCTTTCAAATGCCAAAAAATGGCTAGGAATTCATTGCAGCAAGTCACAGCAAGATCAAGTAGAACTAAGACAGCGTTTCGTTTGAGATAGCATATACAATTCATAGATTGTGCACCAGAGATAACCAAACCTTACAGAGGAGAACCTCGAAGGTTCTATCATCTATGTCACAGTTCAGTAGGAATGTGTCGATGAAGAGAGCTTTAATAAAAGCAGTAAGAAACACAAACCAAAAGTTTGAATCCTTAAAAGCAAAAGATAAAATTCAGAAACTCCTCACTGGATTCTGATGCTCAGCTCTGACCCAAATTATAAAGTGGCTCACAAGTTCAGAGAAAAAACAGACTATTAACAATATTTGATGAAGCTCTAAGCTTTTGAAAAGTGGCAAAGCACTATTTGTTCCTTCAAGTCCAACTGAGAAATGGCCAGAACTCGAAGGCTGGCATCAAAACAAGATGGACTAAAAGTGAAAGTTGTTCACATCACTTTTAAGGATCCTGTAATTGAAACCAGGAATCCTCTTTAGCTGATTCTTATCTGTAACTTCCTTGGCAGAACACATGCTTGGTAGGAATCCGCTGCCCCCTCTTCTCTTCTTCCTTTTCCAGCCAGTAATCGATAACCAGAGACTCTGCCTTGAATGACCAGTTCTGCAATCCATCTGGACCATCTCCACTACTTGTCCATGAGGTTTCCAACAGCTCCCTCGTCCCTCTAACTCAAACTTGGTAAAGTACTCGATCTCCTTCTTGAGAAGTGATCCCACAGTTCCCCTCGTGCCTATTGCAACAGGAGTTGCTGCAGCCATTTTCTCAGGGAAAAACTTGGTGTTTGTGAAGCTGGCTTTATACTGCATTTTTTTAAGTGGTTCTGGAGGCTTGTGGCTGAAGAAAGTGATGGCCCTGGTTCCTTGCCTATGTTGGGAAGATTGCTTTTGCTTATGGGGCATCCCTCTGACCTAAATAAAGCTATTAATCCCACTTTATTAAAGTGGACAGCATGAGTTTCTGCATAATTGGAGCCTCGGATAGGGATACATACCATCATCATATCCTTTCTTGTGTTTGCAATGAAAGCATGCATGTTTTCCGGATTGTTTTCTGTTTACCCCTTTGACCTTCTAAACCATAGAAATTGGCTGCCCCCTTTTGCACATTCCTTAAGCTGTAAAACTGTAATCTTTATGATTGGTTTAGAACCATGATCTGAAAAACAAAAAAAGAAGAAGGAAATTTCAACTGTGCTTGGTTTCCTTTCTATCTTTATTAGGTTAAACTTCTTTTCTTCTCATGTCTTGGATAGAGAAAGGGCAAAAGGAAGGCTTCTTTCACTTGAGTGCTTTTTTGTTTTGGGTTATTAGGTATGGGGTCCTAGTGCCCGTTGATTTCTCCCCTGCTTTTGCTTTTTGTGGAATGTCTCATCTCTTTTTCTTTGTTTTTTGTTTTCTTGCAATAGTTTGAATCAAAAACAACTTTTAAACGCAGTGTGCGGGTTCCATTGATTAAACTCACCCATGCTAGTGACTGAAATCATTTCTGCATTCTAGTAAGAGAGTTTTATAATCAGGGAAGTCTTCTTTTATGTACAAATCCAACAATTTCTTGGGTCCAGCAGCGCTAAAGCTGCAGCTGCCAATAAGGGTTTTACTCCTGGTGGGTGTTTCCAATGGGAGTTGTATGTATGTAATTCACCATCTAGATTCTGAAACAGGACAGGACAGCAGACCATTCAGGTAGACATCTCCTGTTTTCAATTTAAATTAAATTAGTGAAAAAAGTGGTGCTGTGTCTGATCTGGATGCGTAACAATAATATGACAGTGTATCCACTGTCACCAATCCTGAAAGTTGTGCCAGGAAAAAGCATTTGAGCAGCTAATCAAAGATTTTAGACCACGTTAAAATGGAATCAATCTGTTGAGTTCAAATATTGATCCGACCGGACAGCGATGCAGGTCTCTAGCTATAAACCTTTACGGTTGGGCCAATCCTGGTGACTGGCTGGGTCTCAGAAAAGCAATTTTATCAAGAGATGCTCCGACTTCCTCATGATGTAAAATCTATTTTCCGAAAAATGGGTTTGAGATGTATGATCGTATCATGTTGCAGCTATGAAAAATGAATGAGATGCTGGGAAAAATACATGCTGAGTTTGCACCATCTTCCGGTGTCTCTTTCCACCAATATTGACTCATATTCAGAACTCCAGATAACTCGGTGAAAAAGTTCGATTACTTCGATTATAACCAAGTTTCAGTTCGATTCAGAGGATCTTTTTATCAAATTAATCGAGTTAATTCAACAGGAAACAAGAACAAAATCAACTAAAAATATAAGTTTCTATATCTTTCCATTAAAGAAATGTAAAAAAATCTACACTCTTGTTCATGTAATGAATGATTGACAACAAATGTTTTCTTGTAAGCCTCAAAATTGAATTAGTGCCTCTTGTTTTTTTTTCTTGGTTTTTGGTAATTATTCCATGCACTTCATATATTCTTATTTCCCTCCTTTCTCTCTCTCTCTTTGTTTTTTTTTTTTTTTCCTTTTTTGAATTTTGATGTTGTATGAGATTTATTTGACAAGCTATTTTACATTGGGAAGGTGACAGGAAAACCTCAGCTTCCGATGGGAGGCAAGAGCTTTTTTGAGGGCAATATCCACTCTCGTGCCTTCACAAAACACCGAGTCATACAGCTGACAGACAAACCTTGATAGTTCCTCTTCTTCTTCATCCCAGAAACCTGTAGAATGGTTGCCATTCTTCTCCAAGTCACTATCTTCCCAGTCACTCACCGGACTGATAGGTTCAGCCTCTTCTTCCTCTTCTGCATCTTCCTCACCAATCTCGAACCTACCATTTTCCAGAACGTTATACTCTCCCGATCCATTAACTGCTGTCATTGACACTTCTTGGGGCTCAGCTGAAGGGCATATGACAGCTTTGGCCCCAGAATCTAGGAAGGCCTTGGTTAAATTTGCGGTTGGACCGTAAGTTCCCGTGCAGATTATGATCCTGTCCCTCCAAGCACCAACCTAGCATTATTTGAGACAAAGTATCAACCACAAAGTACTAAAAGCAAATTTTGTTCAGGATAACTCAAGTTAGTTCATGATCCACAGAGAACACGAATCAAATAACATAAAACATAAACAAAAGACTTCTGGCGCCACTGAAAGGGAGTGGGATCATTGAATATGCTGACACAATGGTCCTAAGTTGACATGCCATCATCAAGAATAAATGTCATTTGACTGAAAATGCAGGCTTATAGCAAATAAAATCCTCACGTCTTAGAAACCTATTACTATTCATTCAATGATTAGAAGCAACGGTCACAAGTTAATCTTATGTCTGTCAAGGTCATCTCTATCTATTGAAGTTTAAGCAATTTTTTTTTTTTCATCTCAAGTTTAAGCAAGTTTAAGCAATTGAACCAAGAAAAATTTCACTAATTCTGCAAATGCAATATTGCCTTAACAAGACCAGCAGCATACAGGACAACGGACATTAATAGACATAAAGTAGAGAATGGAGGTTAAACATCACAGATTTCGTGACGTAAATCTTCACCAGAGTGAAACAAGGGATATACAAATCACCGATTGAACATCATCAGGTATCATGTGCTTTGATGGCTAAATCAGATAATCAAATGAGAGCCATGTACATACCATCCAACGAACATCATCAGGTGTTAAGTGCAAAGAAGGGACTGTACGACGAAACATGTATGCTCCAATTTCTTGATCATCTTCCATGACCTTTAAGAGATGTCATAACAATTACAACAGAACCTCATTAGTTTTGATAATATCACACTAATGACAAACGAAATCACCTGAAAGAAAATGAGAAAACCATGCCCACTTGAGTTTGGCGTCCAATATATTTATGGATAATGTTTCCAACTTGAAAGTATGGTCTATAGCGAATCAGATCAGCAATAGTTGTTATATTGGCAAAACTTGAGGCACCCTTCCGACGCTGGCTCCGTATCACTGACAACATGCTAACCTTGACACTTTGTAGAAACTTATCAGCCAGTTCTCCAGGTTCCGCCACGACAAAAACATCATTCTGCCAACTACAGAAAAGAAGCAGCTAGCAGGTTAGTACTAGGGCATAAACGACACTTACAAGTAACGCTGCAAAATAGAGGGGCTTTTTAGACCTTAGTATTGACCCAACTGAGTCATTTTGAAGGGCCAAATGTATAATGCCCACTTGCGGTAGATTCTGTAACTTCTCATGCAGTGACCGTACAGGTAAAGAGAGCTGCCTGGGTGCAGGAGGAGACTTTGGGGGTGATGTAGCTGTCTTTCCGGATTGTAATCCATCCAAGCTTAAAGGTGGGACCATGTCAATTCGGCCAAGCCTCTGCAGGCCAACATCAGGACTGAACAGAAGAGGGCTTGAAGGGAAACTTCCAGTGATCAGAGGTGAGGTAAATGGTGTTGGAAATGTTGTTGCTGGTAATGTCTTTGAAATTCCAGATAGGCCATGCAAAAGAGACAATCTTATTCCATTTTGTGCACAAAATGACTCAAGTGCCCGAGCATGGTGCACAACTCTTCCCAAATCAGGACTATGCAAAGCTTCAACAAGTAGTACATTTCGCCTCCAACCTAATGAAGGGCTATTCTCATCTAGTACAGCCCAAGATAAAAGAATTTAAAAAGATTCAGCAGAGCTTCCAGAAAGATAGATCATATGATGATTATCGAAAAGGAGGTCTAATACCTGCACTTGATGTCTTTGCCCTGGCAAAATGTTGAGATTTCAAATTCTCTGTCCACTTCTCATCATGTGCAAATGGTAGAAGAAGTCTTTCACATGCATTCTTGAAGGATTCTGAATTGTTTTGGATGTAGTCCTCTACAGCCGCTTCCAACTTCAGCCAAACAGTTGGATCAGTCTCATCCAGCTCCATGTCACAACGTTCATCAACTGCAAGGAAAACCATATAAAACAATGAAGAATTCATAATTATTTCACTAAAGAGCTATTCCATAAGGATAAATTCCGAAATCAAATTACAAGATGGTTGGATGAAAGCTAGTTATCAAGACATCAGCCAGGATTAAAATAGACCTCCAGCCCTCATCTTTGAAAGCCATAAGGAACCAAGAATTTATACCTGGATTAAACCGAAAATATTGTATCTCAGGGAGCATAGGTAACAGTGTACTCAAAGCTTCCTCCACTCGGTCCACAGAGCATGCACTCTCAATTAGCACTTGCCCAGTATCTAGATAACGCCAACCACCTTTTCGTGCCTACAGCAGAAGAGATACTCGTGAATCCATGGATTGAACTAATGAACCTTAAAACTAATATGATCAGCAATGAAAAAATAAATTAGAAAGTTAAAATCTCTAGATTTTTAATCCTCCCTTAGTCAAGATACCGGAAACGCTTAAAAAAGCATCTCTGCAGTTTCCTGTCATTGCACATGAATATCCTCATAAAATGGTGATTTTTCACTTTAAGTGGCCATGGGAATTGAAAAAATTTTACGGAAACTTAAAGCCAGATCTCATGACAAATTGCTTAGATGACAAAAACACAAAAAAAATGCAGTTACCTTCGTAGGCACAGAGCCACACCCAATTGAAACTAAACAGTCAATTTTTGTATCAGGCCACAAAAGTTGTGCTTCTCTTATGGCAAAGATCGTTGGATTATTTGCCACTATAGCACCATCTTGCCAGCGGTATACATCTACAGAGAAGGTAGAGCAAATTTAAATATAGATGTTAAGAAGCTTAGACATTCTTAAAAAATAGTTAATTTGAGAAGCAGAAGAAAAATACCATCTGAGAAGTCATCGAGATAATAAGGGGCAGCAGAAGATGCTCTTATAGCTTGCCATATATGGTGTTTACAACTTCCAATAAAAGCACTTCGTTTGTAGCCAACTTGAGCACCTGTAGTTGGAGATCCTAAAAAGGTAATTCCTGAACTTTCTGATATTGCAAAAGGCACCTCTGGTGTTCCCACAGGGTACTGCACGTTAAGAAAAATATAAATGAATAAACAAACTTGAACAGCTAACAATATATTACCATAATGGATAAAATAGTCTAAATTTATCTGTACGAACAACATAATACGTGAACCCAATTAGAGTTCATATTATATGATAGAAAAACGAACTACCTGATAATTGCGGAATACAAAAGGCTGAGCTGGCATAACGCTCACCAAAGTCGACACCACAAAAACTTTTGGAATGTTTTTAACAGCAGACTCAATTAGCAGGTCGCCATCCTCATCAGCACACATTTCCTTCAACAACCTCTCAAACTGATCTGCACTGTGCTGCAATACCATATGTTATAGTGTCTTGTTGAAAGCAAAGGATACTTTGAAAGTAAAACAAGCAGGCCCTTTTGGATTATTAATTTTACTATACCATAATACCACTCAAAAAAAAAAAAAGTTGCAGCAGATAGGCATGTTTTATTGATTAAAGGCAATATACAGAACGAGCAACCCTTAAAGTAAATTATAGTAATCCTCCAAAATTATCCTGTAGAAATACAAAAAGTTCTCATTCTTTTAAGTTATACTTTGATATGTTATTCCTGCCTCTACATGCATACATACACAAATATTTTCAAGGAAAACATGAAAGCAACCCTAGAACTATTGTAAAAAGAAGCACAAATTCATATACATGAAAAGAGAAATTCATACTTTAGACCCATGTACAACAACTCTGAAACTCTGTGAAGAACTTTTATAAAGCTGATCCAACTTTTCTCTCCAAGTTGCAGCTTCATTATCCTTTGGCACAGGTTCAGCGAAAACAAGCTTTCCTACAAAGCCGAAATAGGAGAATAAAGAAAACAAATTGAACTACAAATAAAGTGTTGTTGAACAATGAATCTTTATGCAGCATACTCACCAAGATTTTTGTATATTTCTTCACATTGATCCAGGCTCATCAACTTAATACCAAGGGCAACAGCCAGCATGCCACCTGTTGATGTCCCACATATAAGGTCAAATAGCTCATGTATTCGCTTTCCAGTTCCCTTCTCAATTTCTTTAAGGATCTTCACAGTTGCAAGACCTTTCATGCCACCTCCATCCATCGAGAGTATGCGTAGGCCTTGTTTTGGGATCTGTCTCCCTCTAATAGCACGTCGCAAGTTTTCATTCTCTCCTACAACAAGAACATAATCAGATGATCCATGATCTAAAGATTCTCAAAAAGAGTATTAAATCCAAGAAATGTACCAAGAATTGCCAAAGCACGAGCTGCAGCTCTATTTACACATGGTTCAGGGGCAATAGTCAGGCGCATGAGAAGTTCCTTCAAGCTTTCAGAGGTGACCAGAATGCGGCGATTCTCCAGACAGAAGGCCAAATTTCCAACTGCTAATAAAGCAAGCCTTTGCACCTGATTAAATATGAAGGTTTAATTATACATAACCATTCAATATCAGAGAATCAAACAAAATCAGGAAGTTACCTCTGGGTTTTTATGGGCACACAGCATTTTCAATGATCTCAAAACATCCTTGGTTAGCATCTTCTGAGCTACACTATCAGATACAAAGGCCAATGTAACCACAACTTGCAGCACAGAAACGAGTTCTTCTGGGGCAGGAGACTTCATAACAGTTTCAATAGGTTGCATGATATCGCATTTCATCAACTGCATGGCCACAGAAACATCTCCAGCAAGAGTTGATAGAGCGGAGCAGGCTTGCTCAACCTACCACAAATCAAAACTATAAAGACAGTGCACAATAGGGAGGGGAAAGAAAAGCAAACATTCTGATGTCACTCATGAAAGTAAAGTATATAGTGTACCACATGGCGGTTCTCACTACTTATCATGCTTATGAGCTGCCGCACTGCATTCTCATCTTTACCAATAACGACACGGTTTCCCTGGTCTTGCATTATTATCTTGGCCAGTGCAGAGGCTAGCAAAGGGTGATGACAAGAGGAAAAACGGAATATGAGAGAGAAAAAGGCACTCAGCTTGTGTCTAGATGCACCAAAATAAGAACTATTCTCCATCTGTGACACAAAAAGAGAAACAGTTTTATATATAGATTTATACATCCTCATGTAAAAGCATGAGAATACAAACAGCTAATTTGTTGACGTGTACCTCTATTTGCACAGTCACTGATCTTAGATTTTCATCAGCCACAATCCTGATATTTGCAAGGGACAAGTGGCGAAGCTTGCGTAAAGGCAAGATCTCAGGAAGGAATTCAAGTGGATTACCAAATAACCTAAGAATTTGTAACTCCGCCATAGCCCTGCCATCAACTGGAGAAAAAAATTAGACCAGAGAAAAGTATATACTCACAAGCTTATAGAAACAAGTTGTTTTGTCAATAATGTGACCTGAAGTCAAGAAGAGGCCGAACAAGTTTGTTATGCTCTAATGATAATTCCACCAGCCCCACACACTGTCTCAGTTCCACTGCTCATAAATTACCAACAAAAATATGGTAAACAGACATGTGAGAAGAAACATCAATGGCTTAGACCTTCAAAAATCATGATAACATATTTTTTTCCGTCCTAGTATGGCAAGTTAGGAACTCGATATGGTAATACAAGTCTCAGGAACACAATTTAGTTGTAAAAACAAGATCATGCTTACCAGGAACTGAAACAAGCATGTTGTAGTCAACCCTGAGTACTTTTAAGGTTTTTAGTTCACCAAGCTCAGGTGGTAACACTGATAGCTTGTTGTAATCAAGGTATAGTTTCTCAAGAATTGGCAAACGAGTTAGCTCAACCGGCAGTGTCTGCATCAAAAAGTAAGCAACCAATGAGTTCCAAACTACTAAAGGAGAGGAAAAGAAACATGCCTAGGTTAGTTCATCGAGCTCATCCCAAAACTTTTAAAATTTTTAAGCAATTACCATTTCTCTTACCAATTTGTTCTGCTGACAAAGAAAAAGCCTCTAAAAAGAATCAATTTACTAGTTACTAGTTAAAATTACGCTAGGCAGAGCCTTATACTCTCTTGCAGTACATCATCCCACATTTCTCAAAATAATCATTTCACCAAAAAACAAAGAAAAAAAAAACAAGAAAAGCAAGAACAAGAAAAAAAAAGAAAAAGCAAGAATTTACCACTAAACCACAACCGCAAAGGCTAAGCAAAGTGACACTTCTCCAATGGTCACCACATGCAACCGGACTTCCATCACCAGATGGAACCAAATTTGACCGTAACAATCGAACCAGAACTCCGACTCCATCACTCTGCTGACCTGACCCGGCCGCCTTAACCATCGTAACCGCCCGTAACGGCTCCCTCCTCTTCTCCACCTTCATCTCCAGCCCCACTACATTTCCTTCCGTCTGCCTCAATTCAATCGCCACCGCGTCTTGCGGGACCGGAAGCGCCACCATCAATTGAGATTGCAGCCTCAACGCCACCTGGTCCTCGTCATCCCCCGCTATCCAATCCAGATCGATCCTAAACCCTACCTCCTGCTGATCCTGCGGCGGCAACGACGCCGACGAGGACGAAGCGGAACTTATCGATGATGCCGATGACGTGCGGTCGAGATCTTCCCCCGATTCTTCGTTCCCGTAGTTTAGAGACAATCGGAAGATCTCCGAAGGCCGTTTCCAGCCTAGTCCCCAAGACATTGTGATCGAACGATCCAAATGTGCTGAAGAAGAGGATTATCCCGATCAGACGGTATATACGATGTTTCACATTTGAAATGTATTCACGGCAAGAAAATCGAATTGAAAAGTAGTCATGATGATACAAATGAGGTTCCTTTCTTAAGAGTTACGGCTTAAAGAGAGAGAGAGGGAGAGAGAGTAATGGGAAACTGATCGACAACTGAAGGTGCAATGATCTCTCTGAAATCCACGAACTTCGTTTCCGACACAGTTTCTATTGTCGGAGTCGTTTGGTTATCGTTTTTATAGTTGAGCCAGATCCCTGCGACGGCGTCGTTTGCTTGATGGTTGAACGACATAGTTTCGCTCCTTGGTGCATTAAATTTTTACGAAAGCGACGTCGTGTCTCTCAAGCCAGTCTCAATAATATGAATTCTGTTTTTCATGTGTTCTGTAATCTATAGCTTTATAGTGCGAGTGACAAATGGTGATCGTTTAACAGAAAAAATACATATATGACGTGATGTTTAATTACTTAAGGCTGGTGGCCCAAATTCTAACTAATATAGGGACCATTAATTAGTTCTAATTCCAAATAATTGGACCGATATTGGGTTTGGTTTAGTTTTGATTTTAGTCTATTACTTAATTTCATTTTTTCAATTGTGATAAAACCGATCAAACTGATAAATATAAATCGATATCGATTATTTTGATTTTAAGACGTTCACCCTATACGGTTAGGGTTCTTTTGCTCAAGTTTAAGGGTCTGGGCATGCACTTCTCATTGTAGCCGAAGCCCATATGCCCTTTCCCAGTGGCATGGCAACAGCTTAGTAAGGGCCAGACAGAAGAGGCCAAGACTTAAGCCTGACAATGGCCTGAAAATGGCTCATCTACACCTGCTTAGAAAATCTCAAGATCATCAAATGCACCATCCAGATGGGGAGGGTTGAGAATACATTTAACCAAGCTCAGAAATCTGATCAGTTCAAAGTTGCAACAACAATGGCTTTGTCTCAACAGAGGAATTCAGATGAATTGTAGCCCAGCTGGTCTCAAATTGACCTAAATAGGATCAACAATGTTGCTACTGGCCTATCAAGTATTAGTAGGAAGTACAACATGCTTATGAAACTGCTACAACTCATAAATGTAGCTTCTCTGTGGCTACTTCGAAAATTGCTCTCAATTCTTCCTTTACTCCATCATCAGCAAATATAAAATCAATAGCAGTTTCAGCAAGCTGAAACATTTCTGTCTTTCTGAGACCTAGGAAAAAAAAAGAATACATCATCAATGAGTTTGAACTATTTGATCTATACCCTTTGCGTGTGCTAGTTATGTTTCACTTACCAAATGCAGAAGAAGCAAGACGGTACTCCCCAGAAAGACTGGTCGAAAAAACCCCAGAATCATCTGTGCATAGAACCAATGGATGTTTTGCCTTGTATAGATCAGCTGCATCACCATGTCACAAGAACACACGTTTTAAGAGTCAGTATATAGCCAAAGGAGAAATATGCTACAGTCCTTGGAGAGTAGCTGATTAAATACTTGCAAAATTAAATTCTCAGAGTTGAAAATAGAAGCAGAAAAGCCTGACCAAAATGATGATTATCTATTGAAGAAATTGTTTCTGTCCTGATATTGGATGTCAAACAAATCTCAACCTGCAAAAACAATAAAGAAAATCTTTAGCTTGCTAAATGTTTTAAGGCCTATAATATTCAGGCCTGCAATGCAAACTCTAAAACTTCTAAAAGCCTCTTTAAATTGAAAATCTGTCAATAAATGTAGAAGCACAGGCATCCTCCAACCTTGATGAGAGGTACAGATCATAGAAAACTGAACTATAAAATTTCATTGATCACCAAGAAGGAAACATGATTAACAGAATTAATCTTGGCTGGATTTTGACAATCTAATAAATTACACTCAAAGCAATCTATCAAGTAAATGGCTTGGAAAATAGGATATCAACCCACATACTAACTGATAAGTATCTTACTGGGATTTTCAATGATTTCAATTTCCTCCAGTTTTCCTTCTCAAAGCAACAAGCATGACCAATCCTATGTGGAAGAAAGTCTAGCATTGCTGTGATCTCCTCCTGGTTAGGTACCTACAAGCACTAAGATATGAAAATAAACTAGTCAGTTTATTTCAATTATTATAAAGCACACTAGTAGCATCAAACTTGTGAGGAGCAGAAACAAAACCGCACCTCTCCACAGTGAAGAGTTATACAGAGACCCTGCTCCCTAGCATACTTTAATGCTGGCAAGAATGTAGTCCTACATCAGATGCAAAGAAAATTCAGAATTATGAGATCATTATAACATTTAAAGGACAAGGTCATGAAAAAACTAGTAAGAATTCCTGGCAGTGATTACTGATTATTTATCCAAAACAGAATTAAATTAAAACAAAAAAGTAGAAAGAGTTGTTGCACGATGAGTACCAACTGCCCACAATCGGGTTTCCAGAGAGATCAATGCCAACTACCCCTGAATCCCTCATTTCTAGTGCAAGCTTAACCTGAAAATTAGAAAAAGAGAAAGATATTTGATGCCTTATTTAATGAACAAATAAGAAGCTCTTCACAAACTGCATTCCTAACATACAGTTTCCATGGCAGCTTCAGTGCTCTCACGGCGGTCAATGCTGAGAAGAAACCTAACGTATAGCTTTTTTCTTGTAGTTCCATTAAATGTATTGGTCTTCAAACCAGCAGGAGCATAATCAACATCAACTGAACTGACTGCTTTTAAACCCTCCATCACAGCTTCCATATAAGAGCGTTTGCTCATTCTTATGGAATCATTTCTCTGTACAATGGTTCCATGAGTTCATTAATTCAAAACTACATGCTGTTTCATCGTATTAAACTAGCTACACCCCCCGCAAAACTAAAATATTGCAACGTAAGTACCTTAGGAGTTGTTCTAAGCTCTAGATATACAACATTCTCAGAAGCAAAATCTTCAATGACCTGTATTTTGAAAGAGCAAGAAAAACATGATGAACCGATATGGACGAATTATGGTAAAAGAAGCCTTCAAGTAGGAAGCTTCCTTACCTCTTTAGTAATTCTTGTAACAGTCGAGTGATCAGTAGTGAGAATGTGAATGAGGTCAAACAGCTTGAACACTTCATGTAAAGTACGGTCACCTGATTTGAAAAAAATTCAGGAGGTTCCTAAATATCAATCTTAAATATACAGAAGACAATATGATGAAATCTTGATTTCCTAGATGTGCAAGATTAATTAAATCAAATGAAAACTATTCCAACCCCAAACTCCACCCGGCCTTACCACCTGAGCTGTGACCAAGCAGCCAATCTCATGTTTGTTTTGGGTTCTCAAGAATGACAACTGCACAATGTGCAAATTGCACAATTGAGCAGAGGATTTTTCTTCTTTGTATTTTTTTTCAGCAATGAAATAGAGGAGTAAAACATTAAAAGAGGAGGAAGCAACGTACTTTTCATTATAACAGTCTCCACATCAGAGAAAGCAATGATACCCTTTTCACCCAAAACTCTTGCAAGTTCTCTGTTAGAAAACAACACTACTAAATTAAGCTTCATGGTTCAGATAGCAAAGATAATTCAAAGCCTTAAAATTAAAGAGACAGAAGAGAGGGATAAGTAAGCTCACAGGAGAGTAGAGTCCCTAACTGAACCGTTGAGGTGAGCGTGAAGTTCAACCTTTGGCATCGAAACACACCACTCCATATCTTGTCTGTTCATCTTTTCCAGCTTCCTTATCTTTGCTTGCTGCAGCCTTTGGGTTGGGTCTTCCAACAGGGTACGCTCGGAGCCGGGGTAGATTGAGCCTTTTGAGTTTTGAGTATATTCCAAGTTCAAACCAAATGGTCAAAGCAGATGAGGACAAAAATGAAGTGCAAGCGGACAAGGAAGCAAGTGGGCACCTGCGGCAATGGGCCCAAATAGCCAACAAATAGCGATTTATTGGGCTTCAACAAAGTTTGGCAATATTGGATCTCAGGCTTTAAGAACCCAACGTTGAGGGCTACACTCCACAGGCTCGATATTCTACAAGTTCAACGGTCTGCTTCCGCTTGCATCACAAGGCGGACGATACCTCCTCAGGGCTTGGTAAAGGATACTGGACTATCAATATTATCACTGCAAGCATCTACCAAATATGATCAATTCAAATGGCTCTATAAGTGATCCTGCTGGCGCATATATTTGTCTAGTGTGGTCTGATCGCCGTCCTTCCGCTGCCCATCCTTCAGTCTGTCCTCCAAACTATTGCCTGCATGTTCCCTGCACGGCATTCCGTGCCTTGCGATGGGTGGACCAGCGAAAAGAGGCATTATTTGAGGCAGAATCCTTTTCTATGAATGCACAAACTAGCTAGATTATATCTTTTTATTCTAATTGAATTTATGAAGCGTATGATCCTTCTAATAATTGGTTAGTATGCATGCATGTGCTCCTAATCAGGATCATGCACCTTTGGCTGGCCAGTAGGACTGGTGTCTATATCTTTATACATAGCAAGAACCCTCCCTAATTTGAGTAATTGGCCAGTAGGATTCTGTAACCACTCACCAGCATACCATTCTCTTCACTCCATGGCTGGTCTATGTTAAATGGCTGAAGATTTTTGTTTTGCAGGTCTTGGGGTTTTACCTGGAGTTGCATCTTCCACAGCTGTTCTGTGTGTATAATAACAAGTACCATAGTCCTTTGTTTTCTGTTTTCTGTTTTGGAAGAAATGGGCCCAATGCAATGAGTTTATAAATTGAGATCCTTCGCTGTCAATGGCTTTTGGGGGAAAACGGATCTTGAGCTTTGAAAGCTTAACATGAATCACTGCCATATTTCGCACGACCCCAAGTTCATAGTTCGACTTGTCAGAGAGATTGTTCTATAATGAGTAATTTGGTAAGCAAAACGTGTGATACCCTTCAACAAGTTGATCTGTTCATCACCCTTCTGAACACCAATTGAAACCAAACCAATTCTAGCCACAAGTACTACGTTAGCTTGATGAGTTACTCCATTAACATACATTAATTTTTCTCCTTAATGATCCTGTTTTGCTCACCTAACCTGCCTGAGGATATGAAAGAAAGTTGCTCCCCAATGTGAGCTAGCCAGGAAGGGACAGCCTTAAAGAGGAAATGTTAAACAAATAAATGTTACCAGCACATGTTACCTGGTCCCTTGCATAGCTCATGTGAATCACGACAAAGGTATGAGAAGAATATTGCCATGCCGGCCTTCTCTCCCCAAACACGTTTATGACACTATCGTATGGTGGCAGTTGAATTTGCCCCAAAAGGAGTGGCGGACGGCCCTGATGGGCTGCTTGTCTAAACAAAATAGTCCATTCACAAAAATTCCGTGCCATCTTCCCATGGGTCCGAACAGGCCACTAATCGTTATTACTATAGGAATCGAATTGCTTACTTTTTGACTCTGCTCCAACTCCCCAATTTAGTTGCTTCACCGACTTTCTGACTCGACTTTCAATTCTACTCATAAGCATAAGACTGCAATTTTTGAGGTTTGATTAGCTTTAAGGAACTCAGATTGTTCCTGCTTACCATGGTTGTAATTGCCATTAATATATATATATATATATATATAATATCATTTTTTAAAGGCAGTGCGTATTTTAAGATTAAAATCAAAACCAACTGAAAGAACATTTCTAACTTGTAGCTTCACGAGTCAGTAAAAAAATTTCTACAACATAAGACTTATATTTTTGTGAATCTGTCAATAAAGAAGTTCGTCTTTCTTAAGATATGATTAAAAGATAAATTTGAAGTTTTATTTCTATGAAACTTACCAATAAAAGTTTAATTCAACTAACTTGAGTAAAGGATTTACCATGCATAGACTCAAATATCCAGGGACAACCAACCCCTTTGTAGTATCTTTTCGCAATCCAGTGAAAAATGAAATAAATGAAGACAGCATGCTGGAAATCTGTAAATTAAAAGAACCTTTATTGTGAAAGACCAGACACCAGAGATTTGTCTCCTACATTCATTGAATTAGTCCTTTCCCTATTTGCCAGCCAGCCAGCCAGCTTCAAATCTAGTTGGATTATATATCTTCAATTTTTTCTTCCTTTTCTTTGTTCAGAAATCCATTCTTCAACTTAAAATTTGTTGTACATGATTATAAGAACATATGATCATGAAGCAAAAACTGTTCCTTGTACATGATAACCATGAGTACGTAAATATCAAATCTAGTTATGTATTGTTTAATAGGGGAACTTGATGTTCTTGAAACAAACCTTAAGATATATTTATTCGGAAAATAAGCACACATACGTACATATATATCCAGTCCAGCGTGGCCATGAATGGCTGTCATGCAATATACACTTGCCTTGTCTTACCGGCTGGTTTGTTTGTTTATGGAGCAGTGGAACAGACCAGGTAAGACCAGATCATTAACAACGTTGGCAGTTAGTAGTTGGCTGTGAATTGACGCAGCGAATGGCATGCATTAATATGGCATTTTGGCAGTGGTGCCTTTTTCTTTTGGATTCTGCGCCATCATTTATTGGCTTCATCTACCCGTCATGGATCACCATGGGGTGCCATACAGTCTATAAAATGACTGAATTACTTTCGGATTAGGAATTCTTTTAACAACACTTTAATACTTATTTTTATGTATAAAAACAATCAACTTATTATATAATAACGAACGAAAATAATATCTGTTTTGATATCAATTGGTCTTAAAATTAATTGATAACATATAAAGTTTTTGTCCATCATTTCAATAATTGTTGTGCAGAAGTTTTGGCCCTAGCTAAAATCAGCCGTGAGCCGTGATAGCTAGTTGGCTCTTTTGCTTGTTTGCCAATGCCAATGGCAATCAATGTATTTGTCCAGAAAAAGCTTCCTACATCGCATTTAAGAGAGTCTAGTGGGGGCCGAAAATTTGAATGGCCTTTGCAGCCAGCCAGGCTGTCTATTCTGCAAAAATTCTCTATTGAAGAGAAGACAAAACACTGTCTTAGTGTGTATCTTTTCCTTTCGTTTATTGGTTGTTAATTGCTCCCGGGGAGGAGGAGAAAACATGGCGAAATGGGTGTGGAGGTATAATCACAAATCTTCCATCAAATTGGTGCCATCCGCCAGTGGCAAAGGGGATTGAAATCAGATGGCCATTTGCACGCCCCTCTCTCCCCATTGTCATGGAAATTGGCCAGGATTTGGGGAATCCATGCATGTTACTGTTTGTAGTATTATTATACAAAGCTTAGGATCGACTGTTCAGCAGTACAATATTTCGCCATTTATTGAAAAAAAGAAAACCCATAATCATAACTATGGTTTTGAAGCAAATATTATGACTAAGACATGAAAATATCTGTGGGTATCTTCATTAATAATGGGGTAATGGCTTATTACTTTAAGTAGCTCTAAAAGTATCCTGAGGCATCTTCTAATTGGTCTACCAGGCAGTCAAGAATCACCACAAAAGACCAAAGGAAAGCCTAAAGCTATGGCTATGGAATATCGACAGCTCTTATTAATTACGACAGCTTAGAAATTTTCTCCACAGATCAAGTGTGAAAGACAATCCCCCATCCCATAAAGTTTAAGCAGTTAGCATTAATTGTGACATTGCTAAATTTGAAGGCTCCCACTTGCTTTGCATCCGTATGGGAAGAGGTAGTTGAATGCTAAGAAAAGATTATGTGTAGTTGAAGTTAGAAGTACAGAGGGAATTTAAATACATTAAGAAAAATCATTTTCATGACTTTACCATCAAGTCATTTGTCTCATATTATTATTTATTTATAGAGCCAATTTTCTTGCTTGCCTGGCAAAGATTAAGATCAATGTGACTCAGTCAGAGAGCTTTGAAAATGGCTTGTAAATTAAATTAAATGTTCTTGAAATACAAGATTAAACACACAACAAACCATAGCAGAAGTATTATTATATTAATCTAAGTATATATTCTCTAAGCTTCAACATTTTCTTTTTCTCTTCCCTCCCCCCCCCCCCCCCCCCCTTTTTTTTTTTTTTGGCTTGTTCAAGCTTCAACTTCTTACCGGGCCAAGATAACAGCCTTGAGAGGATTCTCATGACAACAGTGAGCATAAGTCTCAGTCAAGTCGGGTGGAGCATCAGGGACCGGCAGCCACTTAAAGGCTTGAACCATCTTAGCAATCAACATATTATGTGCAATATGCCTAGACTCCATGCCGGGCAAATCCGTCTCCCTGCCCGAATGGAACCATCTTCACCGCCCGAGTCCCGGTCACGTCCACACCAAACCCATCACCATGCAAGAACCTCTCAGGTCGGAACTCACGTGGGTCTGACCAAATATCCGGATTCTCAGTAATCCATGCAGTGTAAAAATCTACGTGAACTCCTGCAGGAATCGTGTACCCACCAAGCCCAGTGTCTTTTATAGCTGCATGAGATAAAAGAAAATGGCCTGGAGGGTGTCGCCTGAGAGTTTCTTTAACCACAGCGTCAAGATAAGGCATTTTCTCCACGTCTTCTTCTTTGATATCCCCATTTTTGCCTACAACATCGACAATTTCTTGGTACAACTTGTCTTGGATTTCTTGATTCGTTACCAAGTGAAGCATAGCCCATTCTACAGCTGTTGCACTAGTATCAGTGCCAGCACTAATCACCTCCGAACATAGAGTCACGTACTCTTCTTCACCCAATGGTCCTCGGGTCGCCGGCTCCAGTCCAAAGAGAGAGTCTATGTAGGCTGCTCCGATTGGACTCACCATTTCTTGGTTGGGGTTTTCTCCATTCTCCACGAAAGCTCTTCTGTTCTTTATCAGTGGAACCAAGCACTCCAATTGCCTCTTCCTCAGTGCTTTAGCTTCTTTCATTTGCCGGCGAAACAATGGAGTAAGAATAGGCAAGAAATCCGGTAGCTGTGGGGATGTTATCAGCATTACATCTTTTAGTATGCTTTCTATCTTCTTAATCCGCTCCTCGGAGATCTTTGCACCAAAACATAAACAGATCAAGATGCTGCATATCGTGAGCCTGCAGTTGCTCATTACCTCCACAAGCCCATTCTCAAAAGCCTCGCTTTTGATCCTCTTCATGTGGTTTTCCAACGCCCATTTGCGGATCCAACTGCATTGCTTCACCCTCGTGGGGGTTATCAGCTCGGTCACAAAGTTCTTTCGCAGGGTTCGCCAGAGAGGTCCATACTCAGCAGAGTTGATGGCACATTTCCCCATGCTGAACACCAGCCGGATAGGTGAGTCCGGCGGCCTGGAGGCGAAAGTCGGGCCTCTTTGAACAAGGGCTTCATGGATGAGCCTGGAGTCCGTAACAATCACCATAGTGCGTTGCCCCATCTGCAAGGTGAAAATCGGACCATATATTTTACGCAACTCCCGTACTATAAAAATAAAATGCCGACGTTGCAGGATGACCTGGATCAAGTTCCCAACCAGGGGCCATCCAGGCGGCCCTGGAGGGAGGTTCTTAGGTCCGCCACCAGTGACTGAGCAGTACCGCCACCACAGACGGAGGAAGATAAGCGCCAAACCGATGATGAAAATGTCAACAAACTCCATTTCTTTTCGAGAGGAGAAAAATTGGAGGGAAGGGACTTGTACACAACAGAGAAGAGAGGGATTTAGTAGTAGGTTTTATAGAACATGAAACAGGGTGAATTAAATGAATTTGGTCCACCAGCTACCCGTATCTATTAATTTCTTTCATCAAATGCATTTACTACAATAATATGTGCAACACTGTTTGGGTGATGAGAAAAAAAATTTAATGCAACTACTGCAGATTATATCGTTACACAGCTAATCCTGACTTGGTTTATGGTGATGATATATACATAATTGTGCTAATTGCTCGGCCATTCAGTTTATGAAAATTGCTGGCGCCGACTTAGTAAGTTAGCCTGTTTGGTCGCAAATCGTAATTTGCATCCAGGGAAGCCAATGTGGGTAAAGATATAGTAACAATTAGTTGGCTTACCATGATATTATAAGATTTTTTTCCTAAAAGACGTATTTATTCTTCATCATCAGCTTATGTCATGACAAGTCTGTAACTTGATTGACAAAAGATTTTAGTAACAGAGAAATTTTGGCGCGGGGAAGATGCACTAGCAGCAGTTTCATGGAAAAAAATTTAAACAAACCGGAAGAAGAACACTATATCCACAGTTGCCTCATCGTATATTCTGCAATAATCTTGACCAACTTCCGAAGAGGAAACCAGGAAACACGTTACCTGGTCATATACTGTCGGGAGATATTGGTCAAGTCTCTAGTCATTTGTTCAGACAAAAGATTAGATACGGCATAACTTCTCCTACCATAATGTATTACTACAAGAAACTCCTCCAATCACAGTATCTCTTTTATTTTTATCTTTTCCAATTTCCACCATGTAATCTGTCCATGAAAGTTAATAAATATTTAGTCACTGGATTGGCCATAAGTAGGTAGGCAACATATAGAATTTAGTTCCAGAGTTTTTAGCTTATTGATTAGTGTATAATCTTCTATTTAAAAAGAAAAGTTTGAACTCCCTTCCCCTTACCTTAATTAAAAAAAAAAACGCATAAAACTTACTTATCATTTAAATAAGTTAAAGATAATTAAATCTTAATTTATTGTTTAAATAGAAAATACGAGAATTCATATACCAATATAGAATAAAATTTTGATTTCAATGTATTAATTTTATATTAAAATTTGACAAAAATATAAGGAAAGAGAATTAATCTTATTCTATTGTGATTGCCATGTGAAAGAGGGAAAGAATATTTCTATCCTAATAGAATATATGTATTATTATTATTAAGCTAAACTAGATACGCAATATGCCAATTATTGCTGCGGCCGTGCTGGTTTTGCATGTGCTGTCCATAGCCTGTGGCTTTCCAACATGGTAAGATGACCACCGATGAGCTAATACGGTAACCAGCAGTTAATGAGTGCGGGAGCTGCTTACCTAAAACTTTAATGAAGCAAAGTGTGAGCCATGGGACCAAAACAAAGAAGAACACATGGCTATACATATGTAGTCATGGTGGGGGTCATCTTCTTTCCCTTTTTATGGCTCTAATCAAGTAGATGATACCAGTTGGCTCTAGTCCTTTTCTCTTCTTCATCTGCAATGGGTTCATCACTACAAGAGGAAATACCTTTTCCATCTTTGCGGAAATTTCTGTGGTCGGAAAAGAATGTAACTCTAAAAATAAATACAACTTATATTAAAATTTCGTTGGAAAAAAAAAAGTGAATTTAGGTTTTTCTTTTATCAATATTGGGTTGGCACTTGGTGGGAGTATTAACATTTTCTTATTGAATTTCTACATGTGGTGTATAGTAATATGTACAAAAAAAGGCACTGGCCTATTGCTTCATTTACTAGCTATTGTGACAAAATGCATATGTATGTATGGTGGTGTCAATGCTTAACCGGCAATACAGAAATGGATCGAGTAACCATCTTCTTTATCTAAGAAGAAGGTATCTCTAATTTGCGTAGTCTAATCATTGATTTCGAAAATTTTTTCACTAAATTTAAGTAAGTTGCTAGAAACAAATGTATACCCGTCGAGCTCAAAAAATATTTTCAAATAATCTCTTGTTCTAGAAACCGAATAAACCTACATTTTCTTCTCTTTATTACACCGCTTAAACCTAACATGTTGGTTTTTATTATGTAGCCGAAAAAAGGCAGCTTTGAATTCTCGAATTAATGGAAGGTGAGAAAGGTTAAGAAAATGATTTGAGGGAGGCCAAGACGGTCCATAACTAACGTGAAGAAGACATATATTTGCTTATTAATTATGGGTTTAAACCGAAGAAGATACAAATTCAGCTCAAAAAGATATGGGCCGGAAATGTCCATTTTGTTGTAACCAAATGGACCCAAATATTCAGCCCGGCCCAAGTCCAATCCAAATTGTCTTAAACCCTCCAAAGGAAAAGAGCCGCAACGTTGCGAGCTAAACCATGAAGATGCGTTCAGCGAGTTTAGCTTCATTCTTTGGCAATGGCTACCGGAATCTCGGTGCTCCAGTGTCCCTCCTGCGCACGTTAGAGTCAACCGGTGCTTCCTCTTTATACAAGCTTAACAAGAACAACAGCAAGACGGTATTGTCTTGGAGTTGTTTGAGTTCGAGCAGGAGAGAGCTTTCTTGCTTATCTACCAAAGTGGATGTTGCTCAAACAGCTTCTGCTACTTCTGTTAATGGGTACTTTTAGATTTTCTTTTTTGGGTTTTGTGTTTTCTTATTGGGTATCTGTTTTGTGAAAAATTATAGCTTTTGTATTAGAAATGTGAAGAGAAAGTGCTTCTTTCTCTTACTGGGTGGCTTAAAGCTTGAATTGTGTTTCTTTTTTCTCTTTTTAATTTGTTATTATGTTTATCTATAGTTTCAGCTATAAATTTTGATATTTCAATTTGATTCCAGAACTCATGGAGATTTTGATAACCTCAACATTGCCTAAAACATTTCAAATGTTTAGCATTTGATTGAAAAGTCTTGCATGCTTCAGGGGTCTAATTGAATTAAGACTTCCAAATTTCTTATTACCTCGATATGGAATAGCTTTGAATGATGGGATGAGGTGCTCTTATATTGTCACATGTTATGAATTTTGTATGCGTCTCTAAGCTGTTCTGTTATATTGAGCTTATCTTTATTTTACTTGCTATTCATCCTGTTTGATGTGAACTTTACATATATATGCTATTTATTCTTTTAAAGTGTTCTTCTGTGTTTTATGATTGAGATTCGTTTCCTTGTCAGCTATCCTGAATACCATCGGTTGCTTCCATGTCCCTCACACAATGGCCCACCAAGAGTTGAACACTTAGTTGTTTCAGAAGGAGGGCCTGTTCTAGAGTACATCTGTAAAGCACTGGATCTTCCTCCTCTGTAGGTACCATACTTTTTTTGTTTATTTTGTTTTAAACTTTGTCATTTGTGACATTCTGCAGTAATCTTTAATTAATCAGAACAGAGTGATATATAGAAAATTTCATTCTTTGAAGGTTTGTTGCAGATCTCATCCATTTTGGAGCAGTATATTATGCCCTTGTATGTCCACAGCCTCCTCCAAGTGCCACCCCAGAGCAAATTAGGATATTTAAAGAAGTAACAGCACAATCAGTTTTGAGTAAAAGAACATCCATTAGGGGCAAAACAGTACGAGAAGCACAGAAGACTTTCCGTATAACACATGTTGATCAGTTTGTTGAAGCTGGAACATACTTACGTGTGCATGTACACCCCAAACGTTTCCCAAGGTGAAACACTTCTTTTTACACCTTTTACTTTATTTTTTCCAGTGTAATATTATTGAGACTTTAACTTCAACCAGGTGTTATGAAATTGACTGGAAGTCGAGAATCATAGCGGTGACTGACTCCTATGTGGTTTTGGACAAACCTGCTGGTACATCTGTATGTGGCTGATTCATTACCTTTTCAATTGTGATTTGAACTCTGCAAATTGTCATTACATTTAGTGCATGCCCTAATTGAAGTTTATGTATGTGAGTTGTGGCATGATGTTCCTTTATCGTTCTTCCAAAGATTACAAAGATTTTCTATGAATTAATAGATGACTTACAACAACTATATTCTATGTTATCTTGGCTAGGTTGGGGGAACTACAGACAATATTGAAGAAAGTTGTGCAACATTTGCCAGTCGTGCCTTGGGCTTTTCCACCCCATTGAAGACTACTCATCAGATAGATAATTGCACAGAAGGCTGGTATTGTATCTGATGAATATTAGCGTCCTTGTGGTTGATTATAGACTGTAGTTTTCTTATTTTCAGTGTTTGTTGGTATGATATGTAATGGCTATAATTTACTTGCAGTGTCGTGCTAGCCAGGACTAAGGAGTATTGCTCAGTTTTTCATGGAAAAATCAGAGTAAGTTCCTTATAAATTAGTCTAATTAGAGAAAGGTAGTTCTACTTTTGAACTTCAATTCATGATTGGAGCTTATATTTCTGTGAAGTTGTGCTTTTTCAAAGTCGGTGGATTAATTAATTAACTATCTATGGGTGTGTGTAAGATTCATTTAGCAAATGAATATTTTTTTACTTTGTTCTGAGTTTGTTGTTTTGTCTGCTTTTGCCCTTAAGCTTTCTGGTTTTATTACAACAGGAGAAAAAGGTAAAGAAACTTTATCTTGCTCTCACAGCTGCTCCTCTACCAATTGGAATAATAACGCACTATATGCGTCCACTCAATATGGCTCCTAGACTTGTCTCAGAAGGTAATACTGTCTCCTAAGCATTTTGATTATTGAAGTTAATTTCTCAATTACACCTGAAAGATACTGAGAATGAGGATAAAGCATGGAAAATAAAGATGTGGGACTTTATATTGTCCTGGTTGTGCATGAGATATGTCACCCTTTTCCCTTCTTTCTATCTCATGAGTTGATATGAGTGCTCAGAAGAGCTACTTGATTGAAAGGAGGAAATAATTGCATTCCTGTTATAGGCTATTCAGTTGATATGAGAAATTACTTTTCAGTAGTTAATTGTGTTTTTAGTTAAAAACTTTCTTTTACTTATTACATGATTTCTACAATTATGTGGAGATTTTTTTCCCCTAATTTGCTCAGAACGTTTTGTCTGCAGATCTTTGTTTATTTGCCGTTCTCTATCTGTCCTATTTCAACTTTTGTAATATGGGTTGAGCCTGGAATTGATATGACTTGCAGACTTTATTAAAGGATGGTACTTGTGTCAACTTGAGGTTATGGAATGCAAGAAGGTTCCCTGGCCAGATTATGTCATTCAAGAAAACTACTGTATTGAAGACTCTGGGTGGCCTTTGAAAGATCATGCTTATGAGTGTAAAATAAACCTTTTGACTGGTCGGACTCATCAGGTTATTCAGCTCTTTCTTTCTCTAGTCTTCTAAGTTGACTTGCTATACACTTCATAAGCAATGCATAATGTAGGAGTTAAACTATGCATTTCGTTAATAGTATCACTTTCCCCAGTCTATGGTGGCATTGAAAAGGTAATCATAGTAATTATTGCCATACATGCAGTAACATTCTCTTTCTTTTGGAGATGGCAACTGCTTCCTTATTTGAATAAAAAATCTCATCTAGATTATTGTAAGGTTTAGAATCTAGAAACGCTGAAGTATCAGGGAAATGAAATTCCTCCATTCCAGATAATTCAGTTTCAATTAAAGGATTTCTTTGAAATATTCAGTTCTAGTAGAAAAATAGTTATTAGTAATATTGCATGTAGACAGTCCATTTCTGCATCCCTCAACCTTCATTTGGGTGCTAGTTTTTTGTACTTGATTAATGGAGAGGAGCAGAAAATAATGAACCTTTATGTAATTTTTTATAGTATTGGCAAGAGAAGACTAGACTTTTAATAACTAAACATTTGATGCAGGTTCGTGCACAACTGGCTGCCTGTGGGGCACCAATATTGGGCGACTCAATGTACATGCCAGCTACTATTGCAGAGATAGCCAATCCTGGACTTAACCCATTTGGCAAATACAAGAAGCACACTAGTGAGAATGATAAAGAAATTGCTATGACAGAGTGGATTTCCCAGTTTGGAAAAGAGCCAAGTGTTGCCATTGGTCTCCAAGCATGTCAAATTTCATGGGATGATGGTGAGCACTTTTACAAGGCAAGATCCCCCTGGTGGAGCTCCAGAAAGGCTTAGATTGGATATGTGGGTAAGATAAACAGTAAGATACAGCATTTTCTCCTATTACCTGATTTTAAGGTCTGTGCCATATTTCACTCTTGTTGTAAAGGTCTCATTTTTGTTTACAAGGGGGCTCTAGAATTTTTAGTGGCCTACTTGCAGGCTAGGTTAGAGAGCAGAAAACTTCTTGAACTCTTTCCCCAACCCCACCAGGAAAAAAAAAAAAAAAGGCATGAGAGACAGAGAGAGATACAGAGAGAGAGAGAGAGAGAGAGAGAATGTTAATAAGGAAGTAAAGTTATCAGGGTTGTCAGGAGAAGATTGAAAAACGATTTTGCACTTGTATGAAGAATTTAACTTCTGCTATTATGAGCTGCAAAACACATCTTCATGAATCTACTCACCACTCAAATCTTTATCCCCTTGCTTGGACGAACATCGTAAATTTGTATTTAAAATTAATGAATCTTTGTTCTCTTGTCTACTAGTAATTTACATTTAAGTACACTTTTAGTATGAGGGTTGTTGGCAGTAACAAGGGAGAAACATTTCATTGTTTGGGAAAGCACAATCTCAAACCGGCAAGGAACAATTTATGCTAATAGTAGTAAGGGTGTTTTTGAACACGTTCTGTTGTCTGGTATTTTACTTTGCCATGCTCTGCGATCAATTCTTTGTACCAAGATGCTGAAAATTTGGGAGTTCTCTTCAGTGTTTTATAGTCAACATGGTGAAGTCCGAATCTTCTTGTATACCCATACTGCCATTCAAAGTTGTCTAGCAAAGACCAGGCAAAGTAGCCCCTAACATCTGCTCCTTTCCTGATCGCTGTTGACAGTGCATCTAAGTACCCAGCCATGTACTCCGCTCTTTTGACATCTTGTAAGAAATCTTCAATGGTGGCATTTGCTTTGCCCTCCTCCCCATATCCTGACATTGAACACAATAAATTTATGACTGTCAAAAGCTCTGCAATTGAGATATAAAGGATACCTCTGAGTCTTTTCCTACCATTTTCTGTAATGATCATGGGTATGTTATGGTATCTTTTTTTAAGATAGGTTACAATCTTCTCCATTCCTCCAGGGTAAACATACAGCCAGTCCAGGTCAGTCTGCATAGCAAAAAGATTTAGTTCTGGTTTAAGTACTTGTGATGCAAGTGTTGAGTAGGTGATAAATTAAAGGTCACATACAGATTCTCCTATAGGAATGCCATTTTTCTGTGAAGTTTCTCTCCAAAATCCTTCTGTCTTTGAGGTTCCCGTTCCAGGTTCACACGCAGAAAACATGCAATCCTGGACATAGGAACTTGAGTAGTGGTTAATTCCGATAAAATCTAATCCTTTCTGCAGCTTCTCTTTCTCAGTTGTTGAAAATTCAGGTAAAATAGATCCTAGAATGTTTTGCATTTCAAGAGGATATCTTCCGAATATTATTGGGTCTAGGAACCTGCATTCAAGTTTAGTTACGTATCTTTCTGCATATTAAAATATGCCTATGCAAACATTGATAAAAAGAATGGTGAAGAAACCTACCAATTTATAGAGAAGGATTGAGCTCTCTCAGCTGCTAGCTTATCAGCTAGAGAGTTGCTGATGGGCTCAAACCATGCGCAATTCAAGACGATCCCAATACTGCCTCCTTGCTTCGCCTACACGTCCATACAGTGGCTAAGTCTACATTTACATCAATGGCATTTGGATTTCAGTGCAATTGATACCTGGTATTTGGTTCTGTAAATATGGACAGCGGCTGCATGTGAGAGGATAATGTTGTGGGCCGCTATGAAAGGCTCCTTCTCTGAATCCCCACTGGTACAATTCCCGAAGGGCCAGGAGCAACGAGATGGTGGAAATGTACCTGTACGATACCCAAACTTGACTTGGTAATTGGGCTCATTGAAAGTGACCCAATACTTCACCCGGTCTCCGAAGGACCTGAAGCATACGTCTGCAAAATATGCAAAATCCTCCCTGAAATTGAAGGAAGAAAGCCATTATCAGATATCCGATTTAATTTACAGACGCTCATGGCAAGAACCAAGATATTTACTGTGATTCGGGACTCAGCCAACTTCCATATCTGTCCTCGATTTCTTGGGGAAGATCAACGTGCGTCAGTGTTACAAATGGTTCAATCCCTGCAAGAAAAACATGTCCAATTGAGGGTGCAATCACCGGTTTGCATGTGATGTTTATGCATTCTTAAGAACAGTCAATAACCTTTAAGCAGGAGAGCATCAATTAGCCTGTTGTAGAAGTTGATACCGGCTGGATTGACCTTTCCAAATTTCCCTTCTGTCGGGAAATTTCATGGTATATAGTTAGATACAGGTCTTGATTTAAATAACCCGAATTCAAACGGTATCAAAGACTTACTAGGTAGAATTCTTGCCCAAGAAATAGAGAATCGATAGCTGTTGACTCCAAGTGATACCATTAGATCAATGTCTTCCTATACCAAATGAATATCTCTGTAAGTAAGAAATCATATGATTTATTTTTATTGAAAAATGATCGAGAAAGGTAGGTGCCAGTTGTAAAGGTGCATTAGGACGTAGACATACCATATACCGATGATAATGATCCACTGCTATGTCTCCATTGCTTCCGTCAATTACGTTGTCTGCAATAATCGTTTGATCTCTTTTCATAAAGATGGAACTATTCTCATAAAGTAGACTGTAAACTTTGTACTGTTAGATTCTATTCAATGGTGTTTTCTTTGATCAAGGAAGACAATGCAACTCTGGAAGCGTTTCTGCAATGAAGGACACCATGCATGCTGCTAAAAATGCTGGGAGAGGTGATGATCATACCTGGTTTGTGGGTGTAAACATCCCAGTTGTTCAAACCTTTTCCATCGCTCAAGTAACCACCTTCATACTGCCAAAGATGAAACAACAGCACAATCAGAATTTGATCTGTTTTTTCACAGACAAGTATAAGAAACTGTAACAGATTGAGACATGGTGAAGCAAACCTGGTAAGCGGAAGAGGCTGTCCCGAAGAGAAAGTTGGGAGGAAATGATGAAGATGGATTACCCGAGGTTTGTTTCAGGGTCTGCAGCTCGGATGAAATGGAGAGAGGTAACATGAACAGAATCTGTAAGATAAAGGAACCGATGTAAAGCATAGAAATATCCATGACTGGCTATCCGAAGCTCCTGCTATAACCCAATAGCAGAAAATAGAGCCATGTCTATATATATACGTAGTCACAATGGCGTGCTTGACGAGGCACAAGCAGAACCAGGAAGGGGAATTGGTAGTTTGAAAAATAACAGGATAGGATTTGGATGAAGTAGGACTACTGTTCACATGCATGCCAACCTTGACCATTGCAAAAAAATGAAGCACTTTCCATTTCGTATAGCTTTCCAGGCTTGACGCAAGGAATGAACTAGAAAAGTCAAATTCAAAAATAAACAAATTAATTTACATAAAAAATTGACGAGACCTTATCCATTTATTAAATCAGTAATAAGAAAATCCCACGTCTATTAAATTGAGATATAAATATAACAAAAGTCTATTTAATTAAATTCAAAAAATAAAATCAGATTGACAACCATGAAAGAGTGCTTATTCTCTTGAAAGATCAATATATAGTTAATCGAATAAAACATGTGCTAAAACCATTTCTCAATTAATAATTCAAGCTTGATTTAGTGCAAGATTGTAATACTTTACGTGGGGGGTTGAATCAAAGCATAATGCTTAAGTTTCTTCATTTTCAATTGACCTTGCTTGATTATACAAATATATTTCTAATATTTTGTTATAAGTCGATTCAATGGAACTTTGATTTCAAACTTTTTTCTGAAGTATGAGATAGATTTTATTTTCTTGCACGGAAATGGGATTATATTATTAATAACTAATAAGAAGATAAAATGCATGTGATGATGGTATTGGACTGCTTGTATGAACAAATAGCCAAAAGACATCATCAATAATGTTCAAAATAAAAATAAAAAGAAATGCAATTTAATAAGTATATGTATAAGAAAATTGACCGCAGAATTACAAATATATATATATATATATATGTATTTTTAAGAATAAAAGGCAAAATAATTTAGTTTTCTTCCTTGACTGGTAGTCTGGCCCTCCAATTGCAGTCGGATGGCGTAAAGTCAAAGAGATAGACATGCCAGCCAAAAGGAGAATTTCACTTGCAGACCAGAGATGAGGCGTCTGGAATCAATAATTCAAAGACCAATAGTGGAAATCAAGTCGCGGAGGGAAAAGTTGGAGGGCAGCAACAATATTTTGCAAGTAATGATCCTGGATGGTCGACTTGCTACAGTTCCAATTAGTATTTTATAGAGTCATTAAGCAAAGTTAGGAAGGGTTGTGAAGAGAAGATTGAACACGATTTGTATTGGGGTGAAAAATTTCATATCCTTCTGAGATACTTATCAGTGGACAGAAACATTTGTTCATGAAACCTCTGCCAGGACATTCTTGCAGTGTAAAGTTGGCCCAAAATCAATGCATATGAGTTTCCCGTCTCCCTTGTATGTATAATGTACATACTATTGGAATCAGGGTGAATTTAGGGGTGCATGTTCTCTTGTCTACTTACTAGTACTGATAGGTTGTTGGTAGTGGAAAAGGAGAAATATATTTCATAGCCCATAATATCATAGTGCCAAGCCTGGAGAACAATTTATTCCCCCAGTTTGATCACCAATGACCCTGTCCTTAGTTTTTGACATTAATGGAGCAAAGATCTAGGAATAGTCTAATAGCAGTAAGGGCGGTTCTGAACATGTCCCGGTTTCTGGTCTTTTGCTTGGCCATGCTCCGAGATGAATTTTTTGTACCAAGTTGCTGACGATTTGGGAGTTCTCTTCAGGGTCTTATAGTCAACATGGTGAAGTCCAAACCGTACTGTATATCCAAGATTCCATTCAAAGTTGTCCAGCAAAGACCAGACAAAGTAGCCCCTCACATCTGCTCCTTTCCTGATATCATTCAAGAGAACAACATCAATCCATTATCCTCAATACGATAGGAACTTATTGCTCACATATCCAGCTTTTCAGCATAGTTAGGCTATCCCATGGACCAGATCAGTTCTCCTACAGAAATGCTAAGAAGCTTACACGAGGATGTAGAAGGAAGACAGTTGCCAAATGTAACATATAGCTAGTTAGAATCAATGTGAATGAAGTTTTGTTCAGGTTTTTATAATAAACCACAGTTTCAATTATTCTAACCTGATTGCTGTTGACAGTTGATCCAAGTATCCAGCCAAGTACTCAACTCGTTTGACATCATATAGAAATTCTTCAGTGGTGGAATTTGCTTTGCTCACCTCTCCATATCCTGCATGGAAAATGATTCTTTGATAAAAATATAAGTTTTGCATTTAAAGGACACCTCTGGTCTTTTTTCCTACCGTTTTCTGTAATGATCATGGGTATGTTATGGTATGTCTCTTTAAGATAGGTTACAATCTTCTCCATTCCTTGAGGGTAAACGTTCTGCCAAGCCAGATCAGTCTGCATAGTGGAAAAGCTTCAGTTAGTAGCTTACATTGCAATGCAGCACAGTTGTGATAAATATAATTAAGGTTACATACAAGTTCCCCTATAGGGATGCCATTTTTCTGTGAACTTTGCCCCCAAAATCCTTCCGTCTTTGAGGTTCCTGTTCCTGGTTCACACACAGAGAACATGCAGTCCTTGACATAGTAGCTCGTGTAGTGGTTAACTCCAATAAAATCCAATCCTTTCTTCAGCTTCTCCTTCTCAGTTGTCGAAAATTCAGGTAAAATAGATCCTAGAATGTTTTGCATTTCTGGAGGATATCTTCCAAATATGATTGGGTCTAGGAACCTGTATTTAAGTTTAGTTAGGTGTCCTTCAGCATATCAATAAGCATGCAAATCAATAAATAAAGAAAACTTTGATGAAGAGAATGGTGAAGAAACCTACCACTTCATAGTGAAGGATCGAGCTCTTTCAGCCGCTAGCTTGTCAGCTAGAGAGTTGCTGATGGGTTCAAACCAAAAGCAATGCAAGACAATTCCAACGCTACCTCCTTGCGTTTCCTAGACATTTAACATTAACTTAGAAATCTCTACTTTGTGTGTTCCTAAGGCTGCTACGCCTACATTGCATCAATGGCTTGTTTAGTGCCAATTGATACCTGGTATTTGGTTCTGTAAATATGAACAGCTGCTATATGTGCTAGGATAATATTGTGGGCTGCTATGAAGGGCTCCGTCTCTGAATCACCATAGGTACAATTCCCGAAGGGCCAGGAGCAACGAGACGGTGGGAATATTCCTGTACGGTACGCAAACTTGACTTGGAAATCAGGCTCGTTGAAGGTGACCCAATACTTCACCCGGTCTCCAAAGGACTTAAAGCAGATGTCTGCAAAATATGCAAAATCCTCCCTTGAAGCAAGAACAAAGGCGCCATTAGTGGCAAATTGTGGCATGCCATTTTCAGATGCATGTGGTCAATGAAATGGCCAAATCTTGACCACTACAGAGCTAAAACTCGAACAATATAACTTACTGTGATTCGGGGCTCAGCCAACTTCCATATCTGTCCTCAAGTTCTTGAGGAAAATCAACGTGCGTCAATGTTACAAGTGGCTTAATCCCTGCAGGAAATGTCAAAATGGAGGCCCAATGAATTATGGTGTCTATCCATGCTTAAGGAAAGTCATTGCAGACATTAAAATTAACCTTTAAGTAGGAGGGCATCAATCAGTTTGTTGTAGAAGTTGATTCCCGCTTCATTGATTTTCCCGAATCTCCCTTCTGTTGGGGAAATTGCATGGTTTATCAGATAAAACTCCTGGTTCAAACATCTAGAACTTAAGCCTCACAAATCAATGGCTCTGTCAAAGACTTACTAGGTAAAATTCTCGCCCAAGAAATGGAGAACCGATAGCTGTTGACTCCAAGTGAATGCATCAGATCAATGTCTTCCTATACACAAAAACATCCATAAACAATCCTATGCTGTATACATTCCAAACCCAAATTAACCTTTTCTGGTTATGATTGCTTAGAATCTTACAAAACAAAACCTTTCATATCGTTAGCAATGAATTCTCCTTGCAAATTATTTCCTAACTTCCATTTTCTGTAGTCATTTCATTACTTAATTTAATTTTTTGAGTTAGTAATTTTAAGCATAATTTAATATCTTTGAAAAGTGTAGAGAATCTCAAAGGAAATAATGCACCAACAAGCAACAACTTCTCACCAAACATTATCTGATTAGGTAATGAACTAAAGTCCAAAAAGGTAAACAGCACGTATAAATAGTGATTCTGATTAGTCACAATCATAAGGAGTGGGTGGATTTTGGAGTATGGACCCCAGAGTAGCTAGGCATTACCAAATACCGATGGTAATGATCCACCGCAATGTCTCCATTGCTTCCATCAGCGATCATGTTTCCTGCAATATCAATCACATCGTCTCTTTTAGTGGAAATGGAATTACTCTTGTGAACATGTAAAAATTCAGGGTTAATTTCAGCTCAATGAGCTTTTGCAAATTGGAAATGTTTCTGGAATGGGAGACCATGATGATAAAGATGGGGGAGATGCGTTACCTGGTTTGTGGGAATAGACATCCCAATTGTTCAAACCTTTACCATCACTCATAAAACCACCCTCATACTGCCAAAAACCCAAGATTGAAAAAGAAAAGAAACCAGATGCATTTCAGCATTTAATTATATCTATTTCTGACACTTTTATGGTGGTATTCTGGCATCTTTTCCTGAGGTTCATTGTTAGCTACAGACTGAAGATGGTGAAACAGCAAACCTGGTAAGCAGAAGAGGCGGTTCCGAAGAGAAAGTTGGGAGGAAATGCAGACAGATTACCCAAGCTTTGTTCCAAAGTTACTAGCTCGGATGAGATGGAGAGAGGTAACATGAACATCTGCAAGAGAAAGAAACCAACGCAAAGCATTGTGGAAACATCCATGGCCACCGACAGGGAAGCTGTTGTCTTCTATTACAACTAAAAAATATCTCAATGTACTGCTGTATACAGGCTTCATAGCATGCTGCATAATGGACAGGACATATAAGATAATAGAAATATTACACGTAAGAGTTGTAGATGAAATGGCCCTATCCACGCCGACATCATAGCATGCTAAAGTTTTAAATTGATTCTAATAGTAGAAACAAATGATTTAGCAAGTAGAACTTTTCTTAATTAACAATGCGACTTGATTTCATAGTAATTGTTAATAATCTTGTTTAGGTAGCATAGAGGGTTCTTTGACTAGACACAGAGAGAGAGAGAGAGAGAGGGGTTCTGCAATAAGTAAGTGAGATGCCTTAGAGGAGATTTGAGTAGTCTTTAAAGTGTTAAATCTCTTCCAAAGTTGTTAGAGATAAGCATCGGCATAGCATATATATTATTAATGAGGATAAGTTTCATTTTTTTTTAAAAAAAAAAGGGTTACCCAATTGTTCCTTTCAAATGGAAAAAGAAATTAGAATATTGTTATAGTTTATAGAAGTTGTTTTGGGCCCTTGCATTTATCAAAGTGGGATGTCAAAATAATTATGCTTGTCTTATTCAAGCTGACTTCTCCAATAGAGTGATTCCTCAAGCCCTTTTGTGAAACAATCATGGCAATGATGGGATTGAGAAATGAATTTTGAAACTTATCATGAATTGATTATTTAGTATTTTACAGAGTACTCAAATCAGCGGCCAGAAAACCCATCATCCATTGTCACTTTCTGATGCTTAATGTTCAACATACTGGTTATGGAGCTACAACCCCAACTGGGAAGAACTGCTGATACCACCCGAACTGTACTGATATGCTTCTAATTACATTACAGTAAACTTAGATCACTAAAGCCTTACGGAGGAGAAGCCTTTCCAAACAATGCAGAATTGCTCTGCCAGATGCCCGGTTTGCTTCTGAAATATTGTCTTTGTTCATGTTTAGGCACTAAACTCCTGTGGGCTTGTATGGTTGGCGATGAACTGTTTGTACCAAATTGCTGAAGCTCTTGGAGTTCTCTCGAGTGTGGCATAGTCAACATGGTGAAGGCCAAACCTAATTGTATATCCTGATGTCCATTCGAAATTGTCTAGCAAGGACCAGAGAAAGTAGCCTCGAACATCTGCTCCTTTCCTGATTATTCAATCAAACAAGGCCTGAAAATTGTTCTTCCGAATTTGTATGGTAGGTGTTGAGATATGGATTAAAATTGGTACCTCAAAGCTGCTGCCAGGGTGTCCAAGTAGCCACTTATGTATTCCACTCTATTGAGATCATTGAGTGACTCTTCAGTTGGGCTATCCGACTTGTCGTTCTCACCAAACCCTACAAGACCAACTCCACAATCATTGAAAGAATTCTAAAAAACTACTGATTCATTGCCAATGGTAACACTTTCAGCTCTGCTTCAACTAACCATTTTCTGTAATGAACATTGGTATGTTGTTGTATCTCTTTTTTATGTATGTTACTATCTTATCCATTCCTTGAGGATAAACATAAAGCCAGTCAACTGCAGTCTATTAACACAGAAGCAAAATTAGTTCTCCAGAACAGAAAAGTTAGATTTCCTTGATGGTGGCAGGTGTGTTGAAGTTATATACCTACCGATTTACCTATGAAGATCCCATCCTTAAGTGCGGTTCTTAAGGCAAAGCCTTCTGTCTTGGAACTTCCGGGTCCATGTTCACACACAGAAAACATGCAGTCTCTTATGTAGAAAGAGGTATAGTGATTAACACCAATAAAATCCAGTCCACTCTTCAGCTTCTTCTGATCATGATTTGAAAATACAGGCAAATCGGACCCTAGAATTTCCTGCATTTCTAGAGGATATTTCCCCAATATGATTGGATCTAAGAACCTGCATTGAACTTCTAGATAGAGTCAGCGCAAGTCTTGAAGCTCTATCAGTTAATACATAGGAGGACTAACTATTCTGAATTTATATATATTTGTGACTATTAAAGTTCTTACCAGTTCATGTAGAAAGATTGAGCTCTCTCAGCTGCCTGTTTGTCTTCATAGGAGTTGCTTATAGGTTCATACCAGATGGCATTCATAACAATTCCAATGCTACCTCTTTGTTGTTTCTTGATATTTACGAAGAAACATTATGATCTTCCACAAGTAAAAGTAGCTAGACTATTAGATAAGAAGAAGCAGTGCAAGAACGTGGGGTTATTTTTTCCATTTTACCTGGTATTTGGTTCTGTAAATATCAACGGCAGCAGCATGGGACAAGATGATGTTGTGGGCTGCAACAAAAGGCTCATTCTCAGAATCCCCACTACTGCAATTCCCAAATGAGCTTGAACAACGAGAAGGTGGGTAAAGTCCTGATCTATAACCACGGATTACTGCAACATTAGGTTCATTGAAGGTGACCCAGTACTTCACTCTATCTCCAAAATGTTTGAAACATATATCTGCATAATACTTGAAATCTTCCCTGAAAAGTATTCGATCCCCAAATAAGGTAGATGATGATATAATAGCAAGACAAGGGGTTGTCTGTCAGAGATTAATGCCACTTACCGCACTTCGGGACTTAGCCATGCCCCATATCTATTTTCTAGTTCTTGAGGAATGTCGTAATGAGTCAAAGTCACAAAGGGTTTGATTCCTGAGACAGAAGAAAGTAAAATTACCTTATTAGAATCCATATATGGATTAGGGAATTGATGATTATTCTAAGGTAGAATAAATAGAGAGTGACCTCTAAGCAGAAGAGTGTTGATGAGCTTGTTATAGTGATTGATGCCAGCCTTATTAACACTTCCAAATCTTCCCTCTGGATCCAAATGTCAATTCAAGAGTAAGCTAGAGACTAGAACAGCATTGCAAATCATATCAAACTCTTCCACTTCGATAAAACAAAACTCACGAGGTAGGATTCTTGCCCATGAAATGGAGAAGCGGTAGCTATTGACCCCAATGTAATTCATGAGATTCAAATCTTCCTGTTTCATCAGCATTAGAAACCAGAATAATCACCCTTGCCGTCTTTTTGTATTGAGAATTTTGGTAACAGAATTATATACAGAGTAGTTCCTGTAACTTCCGATCTGTTTGCATTTTTGTTAGATCAAAGATTTCCAGCCCCTTAAAACACTGTAAATTCTGCTATAGGGGCTATTATTTTTCTCTGTCAAATCGGCACAAATGCATTTACCTTTAGCAGAAAAGCATCAGTTACTAAATTTTCATCAAGAAACAGACGAATAGTCTGACTGCAATAATACAAACCAATCAGAACTTCAAGGCAAAGAACAAAGACAAGTGGGCTCAAACTTTAGGTACCCAACCATCATAGCTTTAGGCGAATCTATGGTGCGGGTCATGTAGTCATGTCTACATCCACCGCTTTTATCAAATTATCATTTTAACCTCATAATTCATATCAGTATAGAAGATTATGCTATTTTCCTTCAATGAGAATATGAAACACATGTGTCTGTAAAAGCATGCCAAACACATTTTTGCCTCTTTTCTTCTTGGCTTGTTGCTCTTGTTTTGATTCATTTTGGAGGAATCCAATCTGACTATGACATAAATATAAACCACAGATTCATGAATTTGCCACAAAGAGTGTTTCCTAACAGGGAAGTCAATTTCATGATTCTTTTCTGAAGTAAATCTGCCACATATTTGACGAGAGGACAGTCCATTTTGAAGCTTCTGGATCTTTACATGCATGGGAATTCTAGAGAGTTCGGCTAGTTGAAGTAGGCTTATAGCAGGGAAAAAAAAGGTTACCAGATATCGATGGTATTGATCAACAGCTACATCACCATTACTTCCATCCACAATGTTGCCTGTAACAAGCCCACATAACTGTTACGTGTTGAGCATCAAAGAAACCAAAACATGGAAGACAGGGCATTGAACTTGTATAAAATAAGCAATCCAACCTGGCTTATGAGTAAACAGGTCCCAATTGTTCAGGCCTTTGCCATCACTCAAGTAAGCTCCTTCAAACTGGCAAAGTAGAAACAGAATTAACGATCCATAAGGACCAGAATAAAATGGTTCTGATCTGTTCGTGAGAGAGGTTGAGAAAAAAGGCAATACAAACCTGATAGGATGAAGAGGCTGTTCCGAAGAGGAAACTACTGGGGAATGGAGATGAATCCAGGTTCCCCTTTAGAGACACTGGATTACATAACACCATTATAACTGAGAAACACATCTCTAACGCCAAGAGAGCATGATATAAGTGTGAGAGCTCCATAACTGAAAACAAGAAACCCTGCTTCACCAGTATGACATGTCAGTGAACAAAAATTTCAGGTTCGAAATGACCTGATGCAGGGGGAGAATTTATAGAGAAGAGAACGAAAAGTGTAAAAGAGCATAGCCCTGTTGATGACAACACTAGTAATTACCATTCGGTATCATCCAAAACTTACTTGTCCGCTGGTAAAGTACCCTTTGCACAATATGGCTAGTGTCATGCAACAGCTGACAACGACAAAAGCCTAACAACCATCATTAGCAGAACCAGAACTACAACCAAAAATTACCTTTGGATTCAGGCCAACCCTTGCTCATTAGCAACTAGATCAAAAACTATTAACAGAAACTGTGCACTAAGATCATTCCAAGAAATTTACGCTTTGGTTTGGAAGCAAATTAACATTTCTTTAGTAGCAGCAACACCTTCTCATTCTTTAACATTTCTACCAAAGTTGACTGAGCACATATATTAGTTACAGAATCCCAGTAAGAATATGGAATTGAATAATGGGTTGAACAAACATCCAATAATGGCGCAACAGCTTTGGCAAGAAAACAAGAATCCCATCATGCATTTGTGAAAGGGTTGACTTGGTGTGAAAGAACAAGAATAAAAATGGTGAGGTAAAAGGGAACACAGCAAAAAGAAATCATTAAATTGATACTTTCGGCCAAATGCTATCTCAATATTAGTGGACAAAATTTCCCGAAGAATTACATCGATTGAAATTTGTTTCCATAATCATTGATTAGTACAGGATCAAAGAAACCAATCAGCATAAACCAAGAAGAGTAAATTAAATATCTAATCAAATGGTTCATTGCCAGCAATTGCAACATGAATTGTGGAATAGCAGGGGGTGTTTGTAATAATTATGTCCCATTAATAAATTACAACATGACTGTTTGAGTACGTCTTCCACTAATTTCGATTCAACAGTAAGAAATTGCACTGTCGGACTTGTGGTATAGCAGGGGGTGTTTTTTTTTCTTTCTTTTTTTCTGCTCTGATTTAATCAACAGTAAGTGTTGGTGTTACTTCCTTTTCACATCAGTGGAGTTAAAAAAAAATATGGTTTTTGTAGCTAAAAGTGACTTGATAGATGTAAAAGGATAGTGTTTGACATGAATATCAGCAAAAAACAGAAGAGAATTGAGTCCAGATTTTAGAAAAACAGCATAGTACGGCTGCATCCCCTCGCCAATGCAGCATGGAGGTGAGCCTTTGAGAAACCCCAAACCATCCGTGGTGTAATCTGTGGATTGTGCTCAGCTGAGCAGTTTCGGTTTTTGATTATTATATTTTGCTGAATAATTACAACTGCTAATGTTTTGAAATGGAATAAACAAGATCAAAATTGTTGAACGTACTATACTATGTACGATCTAATCCGGGGAAGAAAAAAAATAGAAGAAAAGAATATGGAACTCGCACTACTTTTTCTGTGGCCTCATTGTGTTTGATGATCAGTTGACACTGGTAAGACTGAAGCAAGCAGCAGCACTCTTCAATTCATTTTCCGCAACATGTTCCACAGATTGTGTTGTGTCTTTCAATGATTCTTCAGAGCTGCATCAAAAGTCAGCCGTCAGCAAATAATGTACGAAGAGAATTTACTCGGAGGACATAACACGAGAGAATTAGATTAGAAAGGTACCTCGATTCGTAAGGTTCTTTTGAATCAATGTAAGACTGTCTGTCATCAATGGCATCGAAAAATGGATGGATTTCATCATAATCTTGAACAACTTGCTGTTGGACAGCCATGGTCTGAGGGGCAACCAGCTGAGATTGTATTGCCATTGTACTGCCATTATCGGTGTTATTGTTCGTGGCAAAAGGATGTTGAACCCACAAAGAATTTGCCACATTCTCCTTGGAATCCATGTAAGAAGAGCTATAATCAACATTACTGCTATTAGAGTAAGAGTGCTGCATTGAAACCGGCAAAGAAGCCAGGGAATTGTAATGCTGTTGTGGGACCTGATTGAAGAGAGGGAGAGCATTGCTAGGCGGTGCCATGCCTAGTTCTAGCTGTGAAGGCACATCATCCGCAATCGAAGAAATCTGATGATGTTGCCTGTACATTTCAAGCTGTGCATGCACTGCATGAAGTTCCTCTTCAACTAGCTGAATTTGATACTGTAACTGACGAATGACCCCTAAGCATCCATAAACAGGGAATTGGTCGCGCACATTGGATTGGTATTTGATAGAACGCATGGCCTCAGCCTGTTGGGCAGGATTTAGGTTCTTTAATATCTTAAGAATGTTGCTTACGCCAAATAGTTTGTGAGCGTTTTGGAAAACCCTGGCTTGCTCAGCTGGGAAATAAGGTGCAAGGGGACATTCGGGAGTGCACTTCCGCCTCTGGTACTTGCACGCAGCACAGGCACTGGCGGTGCCACCCTTAAGGGTCATGGTTGAAACCACCCCAACAAAACCGTGGAAATTACCAGTATATTGGTTCGTAGTAGATGATTGGTGAAACCAGAGAAGAATTTCGGTGAAGGATGGAAAAGAAATATGATGAAAATCATGAAATGGTTAAAGGAAGGAGAGAGGAAATTGTTGAAACTGAAATAGCTAATAGGTAACGTGTTGACCTGAACAGGTCTGATATGAGCGGATTTGCTGGGTGTAAAAAAGACTGAGTAAAAGAGAGAGAGAGAGAGAGAGAGAGTAAAAGAAGAGATTGCAGAGAGATCAGAGAACCGAAACTCTCGGGGGGTGTTTCCTTTAAAGTGTGTAACCGTTAGGGACAAATATTAGCAATCATGGGAGAGTTCTAATTTTCGTGGCCACCTATGGTCGGACTAACTTCACACTAACATGTACTTATCTGTCTGTCTCACGTGCCCTTCCATATTGGTTGGGTTTATCAAAGCTTTTCTGATTACTAACTTCCTTCTCCCTGCTTGCTTTTATACATGCAATGTGCCACAAAAGAATCCTCTGTTTGGAAAGCAAGAAAATACTTTTCCCAAAAAAAAACTTTTATACCCAAAGATCTGTGTCACCTCATGATTGTTCTGCGGACTTCATTTTAGGCATTTTTTGTTTACCCTCTTTTCCCTTAGTTATGCCTTCTTAGTTTCTACATTTTATTCATAATAACGAAAAGAAATCGATCGTGAAACTCAGTAGATTAATGGTTATGTTATAGCTCAAAACATATAGCAGGGCCTCAAAGACTGGTCTTATTGTATTTTCTTTTTTGCCAATCTACAAAAATGAAAGAAATTTAAATAAAATCTACTAGTTGGTAGTATCAGCAAGTAACAAGACTATTAGCAAAACTGTTGCTTCAATTTTGAAGAGGGAATGCCGTGCAGTACATCGAAACAAAGTCCATTCCGCAACATCAATCTTAAATTCCTTCCAAGTTATCTCATGAGCCTCTCCTCATCGTTTAGGTCAGTTCACCAAAGTCTTCAAACCCTTCACTGTTCTCACTGCTTTGCCTGCTCGAATCATACATAATTAACCATTAGGCAATTAATCATTGAACTAACATAGCAGTGGATTGAAATCGTCAGCATACAAGCTAAAAACAAGAACAAGTTGGAAATTGAAGTCCAATTCTTTAAAGAGCCTAACTCAAAATTCAAAGCCAAGTTAGCAGTATCATTGGTTTAAAAAACAGTAGCGCTGGCCGAAAAGGATATCGAAAGGCTATTCTGACCAGTTTGTCTCGTGTACCAGACTTTGGTCCCAAGTTGCGTACAGAGAGAAGAGAATATACCTGTGAATAAAGGAAGGTTCCAAGGATTGCAATGGCAGCTCCAAGGGCATTGACCGGCTGGACGGGTGTGTGGAAGATGATGATGGAGGAGACAATAACCGAAATTCGCTTCATTGTATTTCCGATGCTAAATGTCAAGGGAGAAATTTGATCCAGAGACATGTATGAAACCTGATTATACAAGTGGTAGAAGACACTCTGAGCTACCACCCACCTGTAAGAATTTAGAACCACACAATTTTTTCTAAGCAACAGATTGAAAGAGGAAAAAAACTTATTTTGAAGAAAACTAATCACATCACGTAGGAATGAGACTCTGGAGAGAAAATAGCAACACAAATAAGAGCAATAAAAGAGACTGAAAGAGGTAATGGTACTTACCAGACAAAATTGGGTCCAATTTGTGAGACTGCCTTCTGCCAGCCAACAGCCCAGAGCTGAGGACCCTCAACAGCAATTGCAAAAGGTGTAAGAATCAATAGAGACAACATAGACAAACATGCGTAGTAGTTCATCCCACTAACAGACTTCCCCTTCATCCCTTTCTTTGAGAAAATGTTCCGAAACACGAATGCTAAATTGGATATCATAGCCCCCATGAAACCTGAAACATATAGCAGCAACACAAACTCAGTACGTTTTCTATTATAGGGAAAAAAGTAATCATGTTTTCTTACCAGTCATGTTGAAATTGAGCTCAGTTGCTGCTGAAAGTGCACAACCTCCAATAATTGGCAAGAGTGACAAGTAAACTGGTAATGGAAACGCCTCTCCTAATAGAAATCTTGAAACCAAAACACTGAAAGCAGGTTCACCACTCTTAATGATATGAGTGAATGAAACTGCAACTTTTGACATGCTCACAGTTGCTGCTACATGCCCTATAGTATGTGCCACCGCAACCTGACGGAGAAGCAAATCAGAATTTCATACCTTCACATACTCTATTTGGTAACTTAAAATTCCAAGCTTTTTCTTTCTTTTTGTCTTTCTGACGTCTTACACGACAAGAAGTACAGCATTCAAATTCAAATTTCTCATATTTTCTTTAAAGTAAGTCTAAAAGAGATTTAAGGGAAAGAGTTAAAACTTACAGGGATAAGGTTCTTCCAAAACTCAAAATCGGTTTTAGGAGCATCAGCAACCCTTGTGGCCCAAGATATAAGCATCATGAAAGAGCCAGCGGCCAGAGACAGAGTAGATGTAAGCCAAGGATAAGGAAAGGCATTCAAAACCTTCTTGTTATATATATTGAAAACTACATTCAAAGCCCACCAAGTAGCAAAGTAAATCCCAATCTTTATCCTTTTAGCTGCCTCCAGTCTTGCTTCCTCGTCTGGTAACTCAATATTTACGTCCAGGGGCCTAGACCTGTCAGCTTCATAAGCCTGACACTCTATTTTCCTCTGTTGGGTTTTTTTGGAAATTGCAAGATTCTCAATGGCGGCAAGGTGCAAAGGTTTTTGATAAGAGCAAGATTGGTTGGGGAAGCCATTATGAACGTTCTTGATAAGGAGTAAAGGGAAGAATTGTGGCCTGGTGATTGAACGTTTCTTGGAAAAGAAACTTGTGGAATTGAAAGCAGATGTGGAGTGTTTTATTGAAGAAATCATGGTTTTTTTCCCAAAGAATGTTTTCTAGAGAAAATGAAGAGTTGCAATTTGAGAAAATGCAAAAGTTTCAAATATGAATGCAGGAGAATTGAACTTAACCAGAGGAGAGGAGAGGAAAGGAAAGGAGAGGAGAGGTTTATCTTGCGGAGAACGGACTGGTAGAGAAGAGAGGGGATTATATAGGCGAGAACAGAGGGATGACGCGGAAAGGGGCCTTTCAGTTGCTGATGGAAACATATTTTCGAAATTACAAAAGTTTTTTTTTTCTTTTTGCAAAAAAATATCTTATTTATTTTTAAGTTTTTACTAAGTCTTTAGTAATTGTGTTTTTTTCTAAAATTGAGAGGAAAATATAATAAAACAACAGAATTTTAATTTTAAAATAATTTATATTTGATGCAATATCAATATACATTACTTATACATTATAATTGATTATAAAATATTTATTAAAATAAATAATTTTTATTATAAATATATATACGAATATCTATTATACTTTTCAACTTTTGAATCTCTTCATATCCAATATACCTATTTATCTAAATAGATCTCAACTTTTACATTCATTTAATGCAAGTACATTCCTATGTATTAAATATATTTATTGCTCTTACTTATATGTAAATTCATTCCCCTCCATCTATATAAAGTCATAAATAGAGGTATTTAAGTTAATTGTAGGCACACTTGAAAAAGAAACCAAATAGAAGATCTTTTTACTTTCTTAATACTTTTTTTTAATAATTTTTTTCACAATATTTTTAAAATCAATGCAACATAGAATCCTTTTTGTTGTTTGATGCAATATTGTATTGTTGCTACATTTGCTAAGCTGGTGCTCTTGCTGATATGGTGTTTTTGCTTCTGTAATCCTTGGTTAGGGTTGATAAGGTTTCTTTTATAATGACTTAATTAAACTATAATATGTAATTACGAATTATATTATAATACTAATACTTAATTAGAATTATATATATATATCATTAATTTTTGTAATAAATACAATTTTTTATTATATAATTTTTTTCTTTTTCTAAGGAGTGATAGTATATAAATTTATATATTAACAATACATGAATTATTACCATCCCGAAAACCATTATTTAATTTTAAAAAAAATATTGAAAATGATATGGGAAGGAAAGACTTGAACTTTCCACATTAGTAAAACATGACATTTTAGGCACCGTGTACGTGTGTGCAAATTGAAATTGTCGACTTTGCCCCATTTGTCCGGACTGAATTTTGTAACTATCAGAAAACTAGGAAAAATATCAGTCTTGATTTTCTCACAAACATTTTCCAGCTGCAAACCTTACATGAAATTTCCCACTGTGTTTCTTGAAAATATGGTCAAATCAAGCTCCCTCCCTGATTGACAAATTCACGGTTGCTGGCTTGCTGCAACCAAAAGGATTGAGAACCTTCCCGTGATATTTTCCCACTCCTTCTGCCCCACGGAAACCATTGCAGCCACTATTTCTATTTCCAATTTGGAACAAATCAGAGATGCAATGCAGCCATCAAGTTCCCAAAAAGTGCATCTCAGACTGAGGTAACAGCCCATGCTACGTTCTCAATTCTTCACCGCTAATTTGCTTGCAGCAGCTCCCATGATTGAGCATCTACAGACAATCTCCTGAGTTTTGCTGATTGATTTCATGCTAGAAGAAAAGAAAAAAAAAATCTTACTGAAAGCGACAGACCCATATCAACACTTGTTGTCAAGTTGCGTTTCTGATCGTTGATCATTTGAACCGATCAAAAAAGTTTCTAACTGGGAAAGGAAAATCAGTTTTGAGTACCCTTTTGACGGCTGGTGCGAGGTGTAAAAGAAGGTGCTCCAGTTGGGACAATTGGCATTGACATTTCAACAGTGGCAGCTTTTGTTTTGTTCGTGGTGTCTTTGTTGTGACATTGGACCCAAGTGGCTGTAAATTGGGGCAGCAATTGGTGTTTGGTTTAGGTGGGAAAGGGATATGAGTGTTGTATAGTCACGTGAGCTTTCTGCATGTGCAGCCAGTGCATGTCCTTTGGACCTAATGGGAAGTTGCAGACGGGTCATAGAGAGTTGCCAAAACAATCCCAACAGCCAATGAAGCGGTGTAGGCTTCCGCTTGGTGATTGGGGTGTGATATTGTAAACAATTCACCAACCCCTCATGGCTGCAAGTGGCCGCGATCCTTTGGGATAGGGAATTAGACCATGATCGAAGAGTTTGGCATCGTATCCTTTACCCTCACAAGTTTACAAACGTAAAACCTATCAGCATTGGCAACGCATTCAGAACAAGCAACACTAATTATACCAAGAGTTTGGCTTCAAAAACCTGTCTGATTCTGTCATTTATTTGAAATAAACCATTTCCTGAAACTCCATCCTCTTCTCCAAGATCCATAACTCGTTTTTTTTTTCCATAGATGTACTTCAAATTCCTTGAAAGCACTTGCATTTCTCAGATCAGCACGTAGCTCTTTTTCCATTTCATTGTAATCGATGAATTTCAATTCTTGATATGAAACAGGGAGGCTCAATGTCTAACATTCTATCCTTTTCTAAAACGAATTACCGGTTGCTCCAAGACATGTCTTTCCAGCTGGAGCAAGTTGCAAGCATACCGGGCTCTAGATGAAGCACTAACCATGAGTATTAATCTTTTTTCATTGAATAAATTTATTTGGTTTTGATTTTAATTGGTTATTTAATTTAATTTATTTTGTTATTTTAATAAATGTTTAATATTCAAAATTTATAATCGAATTAATAAAAAATCGCAACATGTATTTTTTATACTTACTAAATTATTTATATATGAAATAGGTATTTTTTTCAATAAATAACATATAAGAAAAAAAGTAAATAAAAATGTCAATAAAACAAAACATAATTGTTCTCAAACTATTTAAAGAAAATTAAAATGTTATTATTTTAAAGTTGATATCTAACTTATATCATTTTTTGAAATCAAGAAGGATTGAGATATTTTAATTAATGGGATATTTGAAAAAGATTTAATTATGGCTACAAAAAGTTATTAAGTTTGGCTTTCAATTTCAGTTTCGAAAATAATAGTATGCCATGTAACATTTTCCTTTAGTTAATATGTTCTTTTAGACATTTTTTGTTTCACATTATTTCCTTTGTTATAACTTTCTAGTTTCTAGAGTTTATTTATAATACTATCGATCCTGACCTTCAGTAAATTTATTGTTTTTTTTTTTACCAATTTATAAAAATTGAAAGAAATTTTAAGTAAAATCTACTAGTTACTATTATCTAACAAGGAAAAAAATGGTGCAACAATATGCAATAAAACTGTAGTTTCAATAAGTATCATCCGCAACATCAACGTTTTATATTTATGTTAATTCACCAAAATCTTCAAATCTCACTGCTTTGCCTGCTCAAAGCATACATTATTAACCGTTAAGACAAGAAAGAGTTAGAAACTGAGATGCAGCACCAAATTTTGGTCCCAAAATTTCAATAACGACTTTGAAAAGGAGAACATACCTGTGAATAAAGAACGGTTCCAAAGATTGCAATGGCAGCTCCAAGGGCATTGACAGGCTGAACAGGAGTGTGGAAGATGATGATGGAGGAGACTATAACTGAAATTCGCTTCATTGTGTTTCCGATGCTAAATGTCAAGGGAGAAATTTGATCCAAAGACATGTATGAAACTTGATTATACAAATGGTAGAAGACACTTTGAGCTACCACCCACCTGTTAAAATTTAAAATAAACACATTTTTTATTAACAACAAGATCATTTATCACAAATAAAAAAATGCAATAAAAATAAAAATAATAAGTTCTTACCAGACAAAATTGGGTCCAATTTGTGAGACTGCCTTCTGCCAACACATAGCCCACCAGAGCAGTAAATCAGAATTTCATATCTTCATATACTCTATTTGTAAGTTGAAATTCCAAGCTTTTCCTTTCTTTTTGTGTTTCTGACGTCTTACATGACAAAAAATACAGCATTCAAATTCAAGTTTCTTTTTATTTTTTTCTTTCCTATTTTTATTGAGTCTCTAATAATTGTGTTTTTCTCTTTAAATTAGGAGGAAAATAAAATAAAATAAGAGAATTCCAAAGTAGGATAGAGTAAAATCCTTACTTCTGAGGTTTAAGGGTAAATTTGTAATTTAAATATAATTTTTCCTAAATAGGTTATATCTTCTTAAGTTCATTCAATGTAGTATATTCTTATTTACTGCGTGTATTCATTCCTCTTACTTATTATAAATTCATTCCCGTCCATTTATTTAAGTCTATAAAGGCAATGTAATTAATGGTATCCACACTTGAATTAAAAATTAAATAGAAAATCTTTTTAATTTTTTAATACTTTCTTTAATAATTATTATTTCAAGTTATATTTCACAACATTTTTAAAATCGGTGTAATATAGAATCATTATTCTTATTTGATACAATGTTGTATTGTAGCTGCAATTGCTGCTAATATGGTGTTTTTGCTTTTATAATCCTTGGTGAGGTATAATATCTAATTATGAATTATATTATAATTCCATTCATTAGAGTTATATATATCATTAACTTTTGTAATAATACAATTTTATGTTATATAAAGATTTTTCTCTGTTTCTAACAAGTGATAATACATAAATTAAAGAAGTGAGTTTAACTAGAGAAGTTAAAAAAGTAAATTAAAGAAAAGAAGAAGAAGGTGAGAGAATACAAAAAGAAAATGAAAGATTTGGCTTGGGAGAAACGAATAGCAAAGTAGAGAGGAGATTTATAGGGGAGACCAGAGAATAAATGATAATTAGGCGGAAAGGAGTTTGTCCTGGGTGGTTTTTCACTTATTCACATATAGATGTTTTTGAAATTATAAAAACATACTCTTTTTATTTTCGTAAAAAAAATCTTTTTATTTTTTTATATATTTTTATTGAATTTAATAATTATGTTTTTTTTAATTTAGAAGAAAATAACAAACATAATAATAATAAATATTAAACAATTTTTAATCAAATATATCGATTGAATGTGATTAAATTTGGTTTGATTTATCCAATTTTGATTTTAAATGATTACTTGATTCAATTTATTTGATTACGCATTATACTATAAGTTACGATATCAATAAAAAATTATACAAATTGATATA